ACCAGTCACTCTTTCCAAACATTTCCACTGACATAACACCCGTCACAGCAGAGGAGGGCAAACCGACTCCCCAGGCCACTGTCAGATACAGATATTTGTCAACATCTCTTTGAAAGCTCTAGTCTTTCTTAAAACAGTCCTTTGGATGTTATAATGTATTCAAGGCAGTGTGTTTATCTTCATAAATGCAATACATCTCCGACTTACAAATCAGTTCGTTTCCGATGTTCATAAACTGGACTCAGTTTTAAGTCCTATAAAGTGAGTCTTACACACCTTTAACACAAATATGCAGTGTGAAGCGTCAAATACCAAGCCTCTACATCACCACTGCCCTTTCTCTTGCATCTGGACGCCCTGAGCTCCGACTGAGGGCTGTACCACTGTGCCCTGTCGCACTGTTCAGCACGCGCACAGCAGCATAACCGTGGTAGTATCCCCAGATGTGTGAGCCACTTCTGTGATCATTCCACCCCTGTGTGATGGGAGGTCCATTTGTGTCTGTGAAAGTCTGCAACTCCTCGAGCTGAGGGCTTACTGTAAGTCATTTTTTCTGCATTTTTCAATAAAACAGATGCATCACCTTGTCAGTCACGGAACTTTGAATACCACCAGAGATTTCAGTCCAGTGTAGACCAGGCCCTATCTTTATATATTGTTTTCCTCTCTAATGTGTAAAGCATCTCTTATCAGTATCATAGACTAGCATGTATTGATTTCTTCTTTTTTTAAAAAAATGATACTAAAAATTGCATATACTGATGTAGTACCTTATAACATTTTGAAACATGAATACGTTGTGTGATGCTCAAATCTAGGTAAGCATGTGTTTCTTTAAACATTTATCATTTTCTTTACGGTGAAAATTTTCACAATCCCTTTTTCTGAAATACATAGTACGTTATAGTTACTCTCTAGTCTCCCTGCTGTGCCTTGGCATCCAGGAACTTGTTACTCCTATCTAGCTATAACTTAGTAGCATTGATCAATTTTTTCCCATCCCTCCCTTTATTGTCCCTGGCTTTTAGTAACCACCAGTCTACTCTCAGCTTCCATAGGATGTATTGATTTTTTAATGTCTGTCCTAAGATACCAAGCTCAGAATTCACTCCAGCTGTGAGCAATGCAAAGAATGATGGATATGATTTCTTTTTCCCCTCCTTTTTCTTACTAGTGTATGTTGGCAGTATGTGATAATTATGTTTGTTGGTGCAGGGGCTGTATGTGCCTATAATATAACTTGATCATTTCTCGTCCCTTTACCTCCCTTTCCCTTACCTCCACCTTCCTCTGATCTCTTTCTCCATTTCCACAAAAATCTGCCTTCTGGTTTTCTGCCATTTTTCATTTATTATTATTATTTTTTTTTAGGTTTCTCATATGAGAGAAAACCATGAAATATTTAACTTGACCCTCTTGAAAATCAACTAATTTTTTTAGAATGCAACCTGCAGGGGTGATTTTTTCAGGAGAAGAGAGAGACAGAGAGACAGAGACAGAGAGACCCACAGTGAAACAGTGAGCCAAAGAGGCCAGGACAAAGGCTCTAGGAATACTGGCTCCTGAATAATTGTAAGCTGAATAAAAGCCAAATGAGTATTCAATTTGTTATTTATTGTTTATATCATATATGCTGTCTACTATTTTCTGATGAAATATCTTTCTAGTTTAAGGGTGAAAAGCATTTAAAGTAAACCCAACATTTTGCCATTTCCTGGCTAGTCTATATTCCTCTTCTAGGTCATAATGAACTCTGGTCCACTCTATGTATAGGGAAGGTAAATTGTCCTCAGAGGGAAGCTCCACGTCTTATTCCTGTCTAGGGAATTTTTGGACTAAGGATGAGCCTTTATATTGAATTCTAATCTGTGGTCCAGCCCTAATTTAAACATCCCAGCTTTGGCATGACACTTGTCATTTCTGTTCACAACTCACTGACTCCAGCCCACCACAGAGGTGTCCGAATTCAGTCATGAAGTTTCACAGCTTTGTGTACTCAGATATGCAGGAGATGCAGAGACAGAAATTTATGGTGCATGGATTAATGACCATCTCCTGGAATAAATACAACACTTCGCCACACTGTTGCTAAAAATCTGTCCTCACAGGCTTTTGGAATAGTGGGCTCTGGTTGGGAAAAGACCAAGGTCCAGTAAAAAGGAGCCCACCAACGACTGTCTTTCTTTACTTCAATGTGTTTTTCATCAGCCTCCTTCGTTTGTGACAAAGCTGTTAATTACAGATCTCCCTCTTCTTACAGCCAACACCTGTTATCCTGTTTGTAAGATTTTTGTGGGAAAGAGTTCGTGAGACATCTTGTTGAAAGCACAAGCTGTTTGCTCTATACATCCACTTTAAGTTACAAACCTATTTTTTTTAAACAAGATAGATTTATTTCAGTTGAGTTGCATCCATGGTGGAATCTATTTCAATGAAATTACAAAAGAAGAAATTCTACATAAATTTCACCAAACATTCAAGTAATAAAAATGGATTCTAAAGTGTATTTTGAAAACACCAAAACACAAAACTACTTTCTATGAATGGTATATTCACTCACATATGTGAGAAAATAGGATTGCATGCAGGGTATGAAGCTGAGGCCATCTAGGAGATAAACAACATGAACAGGGAGCACTAGGCATGAAAGCAGCATCTACCTTCCATGTAAAAGTGCACCTGACTGGATAAGAGCCTTTTAAGATGGTACAGGTAACACAGAAGCACAGTTTCCATTGCAAACCCAAAGCAGTTTTCAAGAAGGGTAGGTATTTTAATGCAATACTATACAATGCACCCTTTGGTATCCTGGAGCTGTGTGAATCTTGTCACTTGATTTCTATGTAAGATGGCTAGCAGAATCCAGTGGGAGCTCTGGGACTTGAGATTGGGGCTGTATTGATTCTGATCTGATTATAGGGAGCTAATCAGGATAAATGGGGCTGACAGGAATAGCTTTTCCAGGAGTTGACTTACTTATGAAATGGAATTAACAAGCCTGTTGAGGATGGGTATAGTATGGGTTACACTCGGACTCATTCTAAAAATAACTCAAGACAAATTTCTTGGAAGTGTGTAAACCCCAATAGTGTAGAATCTTAAAAACAAGAAAACACAAATGAGACAAGAGGCTGAGGCAGGAGGATCACTGTGAGTTGTAGACTAGCCTGGGCTTCAAAGTGAGTTCAAAGACAGCCTGAACTGCATAGTAAGACCCTGTCTCAAAATAAGACCAAAACAAAGCAAAAAACAAAATAAAAAATTTTTTCATGTGTTCCCTAATTCAGAGTGAAAGACATCTTTCACTCCTACTTTTCTGAGTCTTTTTTAAGAGCAAACTGAAACGTATTTCAGAAAACTGTTTTCACTGTGGAGAATGTTGCTTATTTGGAAAGCTCCAGGACTGTAAGACAATAGCTTTAGTCATTTGGGTTGCGGTTGTTGGCAGAGTACTGTGGGGATGCAGTAAAGAGTAGGAACTGGCCGGAGAAAAGCACCAGGGAGAGGAAGGCTGGCACTGAGAGGGAGGAGGCCTTTGCATCCGGATCTGCTTTTGTCCCTCATCGGTTATGTTGCTTCTGGCAAAGGGCGTCCCTTCTCTGTACCACAGCGTCCTCTTTCATTAAAGAACACTGAGGGCTTAGAGCCCATAAGGGCAGACAGCTTGTTCACTTAGCGCTTTTCAGCCTTCTCTGCGGTGTCATTGGTTGCTCACAACAGTCTGCTGACACAGTCAAGTGTGCTGCTTTTCTCCCTGCCTGCACACTAGTGCAGAGGCTTGCACACTCAGGGTGGCTGAGGTTACCTGCATACCCCACTCTGAGCTTCTGGCCTCACAGTTTGGCTTGTTGCTTCTATCAGGTCATTATGATGCTTTCAGCTAGTTAAGGTAGAGGGTGCTAGAAGTATCTTTCCTCCCATTTTATTTTATTTTTATTTTTGTCTTTTTGAGACAGGGTCGCTCTATGCAGTTCAGGTTGGCCCTGAACTCACTTTGTAGCCTAGGCTGGTCTTGAACTTGCAGTGATCCTCCTGTCTCAGCCTCCCGAGTGCTGGGATTACAGGCATGAGCCACCAACACCTGGCTTCCCCTTTTATTTTTAATTTAAAGTATTAGTTAAGGACATTTAGTATTTCAATTATTATATAAGGACACTGGTAGCCACTTCTGCACCATCAGCTCTAAAAAACTGGGAAGGGAGGTCATCCAGCAGGAGGTGTGAGATCCCCAGCTTCCTTAGGATTTCCTCTCTTTTCCTGGGAGCTCTATGCCTGCCTCCTTCCCTCCCTTCCCTGGTTTCACACATTAGTGCTGACACTTCTGGTCTCTGCAGGTGCTCGTAGTGACACCAAGCTTCAGCTTCCTAAGAGGCGTCTCCTGTGTGAGGTCTGCATTTTTGCTTCCGAAATTACCTAAGCTAAAAGAAATCTTTGCTTCTTGACATGGCATGAAGGATAGCATCAGAAATCTTTTTAAAATCTAAGAAGAAAAATAAGTCTCATTGGAGCCATCTTTCCAAACATAGGCAGCAACCTCAGTATTTTCTGGAGACATCATAGCAACCTAAAAAAAAAGCATTCATGGGCAGATGCATAGTCCTTCTTCAGTGTTGTATATTTTGGATGAAGTTTATTTTGGTGGCATTGGTCATAGCAGGTACATAGCCACATTTGTGTTGGGTTTTCTAGGGTATGAGTTTTATTGTTCAAGCCTCTTAGGTAGTCTTTAAAAAAAAGAAAAGAAACGAGTATCTTTCAATTTTTACTTCAGCTTGCTGCATCAGAGCTTACTAGTCACCAGCCCTGCCCTGTGGGTTCATGGCAACATTTTGCATTTTGTAATTGTTTAATTTGTTTTAATTGTTTGGGGAGCCTTGTGCGATGAGCAGAGTCCGCCATGGCCTAGGCAGCATCTATCTTGCCCACCTGTCAGCTTCAGCACCTGCCCATCACAGCCGCTGCCTGACTCCCCTGCCTCACTGCTGTGCTTTGTTTCCCAGGAACAGACAATCTGCAGCTGCGAGTCACCCCCACCCCAGAGGCGTTTCCTCACCGGAAGTTGTTACCACTTTCACCAACATGGCCTTTCTTGGAAGTCAAGTCTTCTTCGGCAGTAGACAGAATCAAGAATGTGCTGGGACAGTCTCTTGATAACACAAGCTTGTTGCAGTTGGCCCGGACACCTCTGCCCAAGATGCACCGCAAGACCAGGGCTCAGGAGGACTTCTCTTCTTCCCTTTACCAAGGAAGTGAACACAGTGCCTCTCTGGAACCACCCAAGGACTCCACCAAGTCCCTGGTCCAACCAAGGCCTCAAGGGGAAAGAGAAGCGGCGGGTGTGTCAGGTTTGCCTCTTGCCAGCATGCTTCCCCTAATGTCCGCATTCCCACTGATGACCTTGAGTTCCATGCCCCCATCTCAGCCACCAGTAGGGTCCTCCTCACTTCCAAAGCATTCCCTGTGGTCAGACAGTCTCCCACTGCTCCTTCCACCTTCATCCCCCTCATTGGCTGTTCACTCACCTCATCCCATCATCTTCTCTAAGCTGCTAGAACAGCCCACCAAAGCGCCGTGGCTCCGTCCTGTCGTTCCAACTGTGGTTTCTTCAGGTCAGCATGTAGCCAATGCCCTAAGCTCATTTTCTGATGAAATGAACCATACTCCATCCAGAGATACGCAGGATTTCACAGCTGTCCCTCAGCTAGGTTTTTCGACAAAGCAGCACTCTGAGCTGTCCCCAGCAGAGGGTCCCCAGTCAGCAGGCTTACCCACACGTGGGGTTTTGAGCTCCATAGCAGAACTGGCCCAGCTCTCTCCCCGTCCCCTAGCATCTGGAGGTCTTCTTCAGCTTCCAGGTGGAATCCCCTCATGGTCCATGCTTGAAGTGGCTTCACGTCCTGCATCCACCCAGCCCGTGCACAGGGCAGGGGATAAACAAGTGCACGGTGGGGTGCCCTTGCCGACTTTTAAGATGGCAGCAGAGGCTGTGCCTTCGCTTTTGCAGACTGTACAATCAGTGACGGTAGAAATGACCAGCAGAAAGCTAGCCCCCACCTCTCCTGCAGATGACTCTGCTAACCCACCACATTTGTCAGCAGCTCCAGAGAATGCCAGCGGGCCTGTGGTTTCAGCAGAACACGCATCTTCCTCTCGGGTGTCTCCTCTACTGCCTTTCACTGCACCAGGTCAAGGGCAAGCCACCCCCTCTGGGGTGGTTCCCACATCACCACTGACCAGGACTGCTGACCTTCCCTCCCTTGTCCTCCAGCCCACAGAGAATCATGCCTTTCCATTCCCTGTGCCAGAAATGCCCCTCTTTCCTCAAAAAGAAAATAAAGATGTGCACCCTTTTCCTGCAGCCACACACCTTCTCCCCTTGGGCAAATTTCATCTTTCCACAGAGAAGATCTTTCCCCTGCAGAAGGAAGATAGCGAGACAGCTGTTTTCAAGAAAAACAAAAAGGCAAATGTGACAGTTCCTCTCCAGGCCTTTCCAAGTAAAGAAGTTTCGAGTCTTCACACTGTAAATGGATTCACGTCTGATTTTAGCACTGGTCCCGTTTCATCTCCCATCATTACAACACCAAGAACAAACTTCTTTTTGTCAGGATCACTGCCGCCTTCCATGCCTGTCCTTCAGGCCACCCAGCTAGTTTCCTCACCTCCTGGCTTTTCCAGTAGCAAGCCAGAGAGTTTCACAGCAACTGAGGGCCACTCTGAGTTGCCAGCTTCAGCTTCCAAACAGGTGACAGCATTTCCCTCCTCCTCTGGTGTCTCTGATTTCTCAACAATGGGCGACATGAACAAGCCAACAACCGCAGATGTTTTCCGGAGTTCTCTTTTAGTAAAAACTGGACCTCTTTCCACACAATCAACAATATCTGGCTTGCAGCACCAAACAAATTATGATTTAAATGGTCATACAATTAACTCCTCAAGTTGGGAAATTTATTCAGCTTCAACTCCTCTTCCCAGTGGTTTAACTTCAGCTGCCAGTGCAATAAAATCTCAGGATTTCAAAGATATTGTTGGGCATTCAGTGGCCGCAGAAGGTTTTAACATGCAGGATCTCATCCGAGGCCCAGGCACCCACCAGCCTGTACGACAGTCAGATGTGACCGTGATTGGGAATCATAAAGACTTCTGGCCCACAAGCCATAACAGCTATTCCGGAGTTTTCCAAACAGAGAAGGTTGACTATCAGCCATCTGCAAGTTATCGCTCTATGTCACATCCCCATTTACGGATGCCTACCCAGCCAACCCATCCTCTTTGGCTAACCTGGCTCAGGCTGTCTTCTACAGCTAGCTTGCAAGAAATGCTTTCAGATGGAACAGATACAGGTCCCCAGATTTCCAGTGACAGCTATCTATCACATGGAATAAATGCTTCCACACCATTCAAGAGCATCCTGGGATATCACTCGACTGCTGAATCTCCTCCTATATCCACCAGTGCCTTTCCCAGGACCCCCTCCAGAGTGCTGCGAGCTTCTCAGCACCCCAAGAAATGGACAGGTGCAGCCACTAATGCAGATAGTTTGTTTCCTGGTACCCAAAAAACAGGTATGACTGCTTTCATGGCCAAAGCATCTTCAAGCTCAACATAAATATCCAGCTTTCAGGAGGGAGTTGACAGGCATGGCATTGATCCTCTGCCCGCTTCATTGTTTGAAAGTGTTCAGAATTTGTGTCCTTATTACCAACCACAGCCTTGTTATAAGTGACACTGTCATTACGGTTAATTGATAATGAGCCTAAAATCGTATTGCCCAAGTGCTCCCATTGCAAGCCCAGAGCGCAGAGGCTTTTCAGGCTGACACACCCATGTTACGCCCATTCATCACCAGGCCAAGGGATGAATGCCTTCTGGGCCAATGACAAGCTTTGCCTTTTTTCTCTTTACAGTGGACTTCTCAGTGTCACCCAAGGTAGAACCAACTGCAGCCACCACTGCCACATTGCTGCTGAGAAAGTCGAGTCCACCGGCCCTGTCTGCAGCCCTGGTTGTGAAGGACACCAGCAGCAGTGGCTTAGCCAAGAGCAGTTTGACCACTGCTGTAGCTAGAAATGTCACCAACAAGGCAGCAGCTGATCCAAAGGCGACTTCAGGGACTGTCCACACTGCTTTCCCATTCACACCAACCTACATGTTTGCCAGAACAGCACACACCGTGAGCACACACGCAGCCATGCAAGGGAACACAGGCACTGCCTCCGGCCTGTTGTCCACAACACACCTCCCCAGGAAACCACAAGCCATGCACCCCAGCCTCCCAAACCCCACCAAGCCACAGCTGCCCAGAGCATCCACCCCTCGCCCACTGACAATCACAGCAGCACTGACGTCCATCACAGCATCCGTGAGGGCCACCCACTTGCCGCCTCTGCAGGCAGAAAATACCGATGCTGTTCTTCCTGCCGCGTCGACTGCAATGGTCACAACCGGTAAAATGGCATCCAATCTGGAGTGTCAGATGTCCAGTAAGCTCCTGGTGAAGACAGGTGAGAGGCTGCTGTCCTTCTGATCTGACTTGAAAGCAGCAAACCTGGTCTCAGAGATGTAGTCAAAGTATTCCTCTTTGAGGTCAGGGGTTCTCAAATCAGGGATGGTCTTGCCCTCCACCCTCAGGAAATATTTGGCCATGTTGGGAGACACTTGGTTGTCATATGTGGATAAAGGGGTACCACTGGAATTTAGTAGGATACTGCTAAATATTCTCAGATGCATGGGATAGCCCTTAAAAACAAAGAATAGTCCAGTCTGCCAGGGCTGAGAAGCCTTGGTCTTTATCAAGTGTCAGAGGAGAGAACAGCATTAGGTGACAGAGATTCTAGTCCTAGGTTCAGTCCTGGCATCAGAGGACGCTGAAGAATCACAGTTCTACTGGGTGGTTTGAGAATGCCAGTGCCCCCATGTTGTGTCTCTAGAATGAATCAGTGATGTCGCTGATGAATAAATAATGTGATTCATGTAATACAGAATCGTGGCATGTACTACAGGCTCCAGACAGGCATTTTGTCACATGTCTTCTTAATCAGCAGATACTAAAAGGACACCTATGGCACACAAGATGGGGGCCCCAGATTTCTTTTGATGTTAAAAAGGAGACTTAAAAGAAAATATGGAGCAAGCAGCATTAGATCCATGAGCAAAGCAGGGTGTTATCATTTTAGCCCCAATCCCTAGTGGCAGCAAAGCAGGCCTAGAATGGACAGGGTGCTTTTAATAGTGCGGTAGTGTCTGCTATAAAAAGCATTAGGCAAATTATTTGAAAGAGCATGCCAGTGTTGAATGCTCGCATTCCGCCTCCCTCCTCACCCCACAAAGAATGAGATGAAATTATATCTTGAGACATATCCTTGTCTAAAATGGGAAATTGTGAAACCAGGCAGAGCAGCAAATACAGTATCTCTTTCCAGTTCTCAAGAAATTATACCATCTGGCTTTCCACCCCGGCTCCTGTCTCCTTCTAGATCCACACCTTCTCCTCGAGGGGCGGACAGCCCAGCCCCCAGCCTCTCCTGTGCAGAAATCTCTCCGCTCTTCTCTTCACCTCCTCCCAAGCCTAGCCAACCGCTGAGAAGCTCCTGCTTCTCCCTCCCAGATACTCCTCTCCGCCCTAGTTCACACCACTACTTCCTGAGGGTGTGCTGTTACCATGCTTCCCTACATTTCATGGCAACACCAGTCAAGTTTATTTCTCCACCATCAGATCTCCCACTCTAATCCATTCTCCAGTCCACAGTCAGGGGAACTTAAAATGTACTGCTTTGCTTAAAACTCTCCATTGCCCACTGACTCAGGACAAAGCCTAACCCAGTGCATTGACATACTCTGCTTCTCTCCCTTGCACCTTTGCACTCGGCCTTGCTGCTGCTGGGAGGAAGAGGGTGGAGGTGTTCTCTTCCCTTGCCTGGCTCACACCTGGTATCCTCTGGACTCGGCTGAAGCATCCATTCCCATGGAGAATCAATTCCCTGATCCCAGCCTCTTGCCCAACTCAGGGCTGGATGCTCTTCTCAGACATTGTGACAGTGTCCTGGGCTTCCCTTCTATCAGCACCCGTCACATTTGATCACAGATGCCTGATCTGCATCCCTCATTGCCATCCCTGCCTGTGAGATTGGGCTGCCTCTCCCAGACTTAGGGTGGTTTGAGCTGTGGCACCATGCTCAGGATTTGCACCTAAGGGAGCTGTCAGTGTGTGGTTTCTTACTAAGTCACTTACCCATCGCTCGGACAAAATATTCAACGCCTGTAACTTAAAGGAAGAGAGGTTTATTTTGGCTTAGGATTTCAGTCTGCACGGAAGAAACAGGATGGCAGAGGGGCATGGAGAGAAAAAGGTGCTCAGCCTGCGGCAGTTAGGAGGCAGAGTGCGAAGATAGGAGCCGAGGAGAATACACCCTTCCAGGTCACTTCCCCAGTGACCCACTTCCCCCTAAGCCCCTCCTCCTAACAGCACAGTCAACTACTAAATTCATCTGTGGGTGAATCCATTGATAAGTGCAGCATGCCGCATACAAGAGAATCTGAGGGGTGGGTGCATTTTAGATCTAAACTATAACAGATGGCATCCGAGGAATTTCACTGCATGCAGACCTCCCTGGGACAGGCACTGTAGAGTCTAGTTTTCAAGGTCAGAAGCTGCATGGGTCAAAAATATATTACTAAGCTCTTAGTCATGGTTAGCCAACCAGCTCTTAGTCCATGAGGGTCACACACATGGCTCAGCCTTCTTTCCTAAGGACTTTAGCAGGAGCCACAGAAGCACTATCCATGGCCATCCTCTCATCAGCCAGCCTTTGCTTATCAGCTTTGAGCACAATTTGCAGGAGGTAGTGGCTGGGAGAAGCCAGGGCTTGTGCATAATGAGGTTTGCATCTCACTCTGATTACTGTGCTTCTGTTTCACCCCACAGTCCTCTTTCTAACGCCAAGGAGAATGCAGAGCAGTGAATCCTTGAAGTTCAGTGTAGCCAGAGGGCTCACGCAGGCCCTTCGGAAGGCTTTCCACCAGACCGATGTGACGGCTCACGTAAGCTCCTTACTTGATTACAATCCATCCAGGGTCCAGAGATGCTTTTCTTCCTTCCTAAGAGCACAGCAGAAGTCAAATCTTTCTTCACTTTGATAAATAGCTGAGATGTTGTGGCTGGAGAAAAACGTTATATTTTGAAATGAAAATTGAGACTAGTTGCCATATGTCTTTTTTCTTTCTTTCTTTTAAAGCCTGGGTATATTGTTTTAAACCATCCCATTATCCCATCATTTGGGGAGAGTAGTTAATATTGTCCTTGTAATTCTCTAGCAGCTATCCATTGCTTTTTTCTTTTATCTTCGACACCATTGTAAATCAGGATTTATTTCTGGACATTTAAAAATTATTCTGACTTGTAAATTGAGTCCAGCTTTGCTTAAATTGCCAGCTGTAGACAAGCAAGTAAACAGTTTTTTTCCTCCAAATTCTTTCATGCCAAGTGCCATTGAACAACTGCTGGCTGGTTTTGATGGCCTATCCAAGGGATGGAGGCTTTGTTTTATACTCTCTCGGTTTGATTGCAAGTGTTAAAGCAGGAAATACAACTGGCTATCCCTGGACTCCCTTTTGCACCACTTGAAAACATTGTTCTGGTGTCCTTTGATATTCTGTTCGCCAGCTGCTTTCAGCCTAGTAGTTGCCCACCCATCCCACCGAGGACTAGAAATGAGATTCCGTGCATATGTACTTTATTGGTCACTGCCAATCTTTCACAATTCTAAAAGAAGAAAAGGAAAGGAAGAAAAAGGATAAAAAGAAGTGTACTCCATAAGAGCTTCTGTGGCTCCAGAAACCTGACTTAGTCTTTGAAATGCCAGTGTCCCCATTTAGTTGCCTGGTGCAGTTTTCCCTCCGTTTTATTCTCCAGCTGCCTGCTGCACACATCATCACAGACCACTGTACTGATTAGCACTTTACTCTAAACTGCTTTGTTTTAAATTTTAAACACATTTCTTTTGAAGGAATAGTGCATATGTTGACTGTAAAGGGAAACCAAAATATGGGCCGTAAATAAAAGGCAGTGGTAAAAAAGAGAAAAATGGAAACCTATAGTTTGTTAAATTCAAGGGAGATATTGTTTCCTGGTGTCCCTATGTTTGTTAATGAAAGAGCAGGATGAGGAGGAGGAGGCAGAAAAGAAGGAGGAAGAGGAAGAAAAGCAGCAACAGCAGCTAGGATTAAACAGGTGGTAAGAGCAGAGAGTACTGAGTCAAGGCTTGTCCTTTGAGGTAATTACAAGGGCTGGAATGAAAGCAACTTTTTCACTGGTTGAGATGTTTTGGGCAATGTCGATAGTCTAACCTGAAGTTTCCTAGTTTGAACATCTATAAGGGAAAAAACCAGTGGAGGATGTACTGTGGAGGGACCACTACACACCTGTCCTGTTGCAAAATCAGTGGTCTTGGTTTCCTTGGAAAATCCACATGACTTTGGCTTTTCTTAGTGCTGGGCATGGTACCCAGAGTCTTGCGCATGCGTGGCAAGTGTTCTACACCACTCCTAGCCCCACAGGACACTCCTCACAGATGCAAGAATAAGGGGAGAAGCAGGTATCCAACACACTTTGATGGAAAGGTTCAGTTTTACAAGAGTTGGGCTGATGGAGGGTGGTACCATTGTGTATCTCTTTAATGCCAGCAAACAGTACACCTGAAAGTGATTAAGATGATAAATTGTACATGGATGTATATTTCTTAAAACAATCTTACAAACTGAGGGACTGAGGATGTATCTCAATAATACACCACTTGCTTAACATGTCCAAGGCCCTGTCTTCCATCCTAGCATGGCAAAAAAAAAAAAAAAAGAAGACATTATAGTAGAGGGAGCAGAGAGGGAGGGGAAGATGAGAGGATAAAAAGAAAAGAATTAAGCAGTGTTATGTACATGTACAAACTCCCTATGATAATTGTAATCATTATGTACTGCAAACAAATACCAATAAAAGAATAAAAATAAATATTCAAAAAAGAGGATACAAAGCAGTATCTACCATACATGAATAAATGTATGTGCATGTAGTGTATATGCATATATTTACATATGTCTGGAAATGTGCATATACATATACATGAAATATATATTATTAAGGAAAAATAACTGCTAGATAATATACTTAGAAATTGTTTTATAATAGTATCATGGTGGCAGTAGTAATATTAGAGGTAATTACTATCATTTCTCTGTTTTTCACATATGCTAGTTCTAGAATAAACGTTATATTTAATATATAAAAAAAGAACAACAAATGAGAACCATTGACCGATAGCACCAAGAAAGCAACATAAAATAAATGTGAAGTCTCAAAAATCTTCCCACAGAGGCAGAAAGAGCCCAGCATCGGTGTCCCGTAGGGATCAGCTGTGAGAAAAGCTGTCTGCAGCTGTGTCCACCTTGGTTTTGAACCACTATATAAGCTAAGGATGGAAGCAGATCTAGAAGGCTCCTCTTCTGTCAGAGGAGTTCACTTGATGTACTTCTTGATCTGTTCCCTGAAGGTGTCCCACTTAATGTATCATTTCTGCCTCTTAATTCTTATAAATGATGAGACATATAATAAAGCTATTTTCCCAGCATCCCACTCCACAAGAAATCTCTCCTGTCTGCTGTGTCCTCTCTGGCTTTTTATTGATAATTATTGCTCATAGGATTATTCCATGGCCCTTAAAGAATGCAAAAAAACACAAATTTAATTCCCTGCCAAGGAAATTTGATGTCAATTTTATTTTGTTGTATTAAAATTCTTTGAAAGCTACCAATCTACAGGATGCGTTAAAGGATTAGTAGAATATTTGTCAAAGGAAAGCCTCCTGTTCCCAGTCCTACTAAGTAACAGCTGTGACTCTGAGAGACACTTAGAAGAACTTAATGCATTGTGGAACTGAACAGTGAGTTGCCGTTTGTTTTGTAGGTGGACATTCTGGAACATTCTCATAACGTCTCGGTTGGTTATTATGCTACCAAAGGGAGGCTGGTGTACTGGCCTGCTGTTGTGATGGAAACGCTGGGGGTTTACGGAGTCAGCAATGTCACTGCAGATCTGAAGCAGCACACCCCAAACTTACAGTCTGTGGCAGTCCTTGCCTCTCCGTGGAAACCCCAGCCTGCAGGCTACTTCCAGCTGAAAACAGGCAAGTAACTCCGAAGGGAAGGACTCCTGTGCAATGTGGGGCTGGGGCAGTACTGCGTGGATGCCTGCTTCTCCTGCTCATTGCTAAGTGCTCTGTCACACTGGAAGTCCCTGTGTATCTTCTTCAGAGAACTCCAATCAAATATCCAAGTTCCCTGCACATCAGCCTCAACTGTTCTAATCCTGAGTGTATTAGAACTGTTCCATCACAGAGATTTTCCTCCCTGTTTATATAATTAGTGCATACGAACACTTAGCATTGTATTTTCCCCCTGTATTTCCAGAGGATGCTAGTAACAGTTGAGGATCCATAAAATCTATGGTTTGGAGCAAGAGGTCCCAGACATCACTGAATCCAAACCTCTGTGCTTAAGCCCTAGACTCTTTCTTTTAGTCTCCCTAGTGATTTCTGATTTGCAGAGTGTATAAACCACAGAGTGGAGAAATCATTGAGATGGAAACATACAATCAGTTAGTAATGGAGGTCAATTGATTTTTTCCCCCCTTCCAAAAAAAAAAAAAAAAAAAACAGAAGGCACGATCTTTCTTAAGTTATTATTTGTCAGTCTTTGAGCAGATGCCTGCTTATTTTGATTCAATAAAATCACAAAATCATCTACAGTGGAGGAAATCTCATGTTGGGTCATGGTTTTGATTTTTCTCTGATATTGATCCTGTTCAGGGTCAATTTCAAACCTATAATCAAACCCGTCTGGTCTTAATTGTTTATTTGCCTAATTTCTCTAACCTAAAGTCATGCTGCTTTATATCAAAACTGCTATTAAATCTAAGGAACTAAGCTACAGAGCTTTGGCAAATGCTGTGTATGATTCTTATCACTCTAGTGCTACAGTTTGTGAGCCAATCAGACAACATACAGTCCTGTAAGTTTGCTCAGACAATGGAGCAGAGGCTGCAGAAGGCATTTCAGGATGCGGAGAGAAAAGTGCTCAACACCAGAAGCAACCTGAAGGTTCAGGTAGGGAGGAGGGGACTTTGGATCTCCCGCCCCCATTTCAAGGCTGCCTTGTGTAAATGTAACTTTGTGCTTTGGGTAGGTGATAAAGCACCAAAGTTGTGGCACTGGTGAAGATATCTGGGGTGGGGCTGTGACAGGAGGGATGCTGTGTCACTGCCAACTTTTGTGGTTTGGAGTTTTATATTTATTTTCTCATTCTTCCTTAGACTTTTATAAGCCAGGTATTATTTTTTAAAAATTGAACCAATTCTAAACAGCTAACTTATCAAGACTTCACAGTGGGCTAATTCCAGTTATACATATGAACACACACACACACACACACATTATTGAGGGCTTACTATATGCCAAGAATTGTGTTAGGTGTTTTGCAAATATTTTACTACATATGTATACTACATAATACTTAAGCCATCTTCCTGAGATATTTTTAACCCCATTTTCTTCAAGAGAGAACTGACAGAGAGTTTATACAACTTACAGGAGGTCACACAGTTGGAAAAGAATGGGACAAGGACTTGAACTCAAAGTCCATCCTCTTCTGCACTAAGCTCCCTATTGACACAACACAGATAGGGGGTCCTCCAGGAAATTTTGGAAAGCACATGAGTTCTTTCGCAGAGAAACCCCACCTCGGGTGCCCCACAGAGCTCAGCTACCTGGATAATGGGATACGCACCACCAACAGTCTTTGTCAGACCCGATTTTTGCAGTTATGTAGATATCAACCCACTAAGAAAAGATGCTTCTTAATCATATTCACCCAACCCTCAAGATTTCTCTAATTAACTCTACTGTTCAGTGTCCCTGTTTTGGCTACTGAACTATAAAGCCTTTACAATTAGACCCAGTGCTTTTGAAATTGACATTTAGCACAAATGAATTATCAGCAAAGCCAGTACGATGTAGAAAGCATATAATTTAATTTGAATAAACAGTTCTCCTTTCCTAGACTCGCCCAGCTTGTATAGGGAAGTATCTCCTCATGATTTGGTTCCCATTAGACTAAGATCTAAAAATGTGTCACTGACTTAAGATTTATGTAAGGAGTGTGAATGTGAATCAGCTCTCTTGTGGGAATCTTTTTCTCTGATCCTCATAGGTGCATGAGCCTTGTTTGATCTTGGCAACAGAACCTATTTTAATTGTATTCAGGAAGCACAGACTTATTGAGTGCCTGCTACTTATCAGGCAGTGAAAGGGACACCAGAGGAGTAAGCTGCCCTTGGCCTTACGAAGCCTCTTTTTGTGTACTAGTTATGGACCTTTAGAGGAAATTTCGTTAATTAAGTCACAAACATTCCTTGGAAAAGACTATAAGAGGTGATTTGAGCATCATATCTAAATTGATTTTAGATGCTCTTGAACATATTGAAAGCTCTTGAAACTAATGGCAAATTGGATGAATTATTTTATTAACATCATTTCATTTTGAGCCTTTACTGACATGAAGCCCAAAATTTGTTCCTTGGTTTCAGCAACCCTCTTGGCCCCTATCTCAGACATATATCACTCCATACGAACCATTCCCTTCTGTCTTAGTTACTTTTCTTGTTGCTGGGACAAAATACCCAACACTTAAAGGGGGAAAGGCTTATTTAGCTCACAGTTTGCAGAGGTTTCAGCCTATAGTCAGTTGACTCCAAGACAGGGTGGCACATAAGAAAGGGATAATAATTCATGGTCATGGAAGACAGCAAAACCGCCAAGGGGGACCAGTTTGTGGTGACCAGAAGGTAACAAAGCAACAACAATGAGACAAAACTCTTTCTGTCCCTTATATTGTATGTATGCTTCCAGTCCTAGGGCAAGTGCAGCACTCACATCCTTAATCCCAGCCAGAACTATGCCAAACCAATCAGCGACCTGATCTACTAATCACACACCATTAATTCCAGCATCACACACTCTAGATTCAGCCGCCTCTGAAAAAGCCCATGACCACACGAGCCTTTGAAGGGACATCTAGACACAAACCGTAACACCTAGTTTTCTGTGTTTGTAGGACCTGGTCGTACAATAACTTTTCATTTTTATTGTATATAATGCAGAAATACAAATATATAATATAATTTTTATTGAATCAGTTTGTAAAGTACTTCAAATCCTTTGTGGAATAAGAATGAATAATTCATCATATGATTCATTCATTCATTCACTTATTAACTCAGAGAATCATTAAGAAAGTGACTTAAGGAAAAAACTTGCATAGCCTTGACATTAGATGCTGGGTTATAGTTGTTTCAGGACTACATTGGTTGCAATAAAAAAAGGAAGTTATTGGCTCCTGTAGCTGAAGAGTTCACAGATTATTTGCTTTAAGTACAGCTGAATCCAGGTGCTTCAGTGATTTTTCTACAAAGTTTTCTTTTCATTTCTTAGCTTGCTTTGCTCTGAGCTGGGATCATCCTCAGCTCCAACAGGTGACCCTGGCACTTCCAGGTTTGCCTCATCCTTTCTGTGTATAGTTTTGTGGAACCAAAGTACCTGTCTTGGGTCATCTGTCAGAATTCTGGGATTGGCTCTCATGGGGCCTCCAGTGCCCATTTGTGGATCAGTAATGGTGGCCAAAGAGATGACATGTACCATTCAATGCTAGTGCTAGCTCAGATGACCCCTTCTGGAGCTTCGGAGGGGCAGCCCCATCCAAAGTGCATGGACAGATAGGAGAAGAGAGGTGACTTCCCAGAGAAAACTGGTGCTGTCATAGAAGAGAGGAGAATGGACATTAGACACATAAACTAACAGTGCTGGACTCCCAATGCCTGTAGGTCTAGTTAGCTAAATGAATATAGCTTGAATGAAGTGGACTCAGTGGCACCCAACAATAAAGGGACAACAGAAAAGTGCCCCCAGCAGGGGCTCTTTCTGTTGGGGGATAAGGTATGACTTTCAGGGACCAGCGCTGTGCACTTGATCTCAGGCCTATGGACCTGGTATTGTTAGAGCTGGCATAGCCACCAAGAATGATCAATTTTCTTAGCTACAAAAGCTGAGTATATTAAATAAGATAAAAGTAAATGCAGACACAGGCTGTGTTTATGGATTGGAGACTTAAGATGGTTAAGGTGTCAGTACTACCCAATGCAATCTGCAAATTTAATGCTATCACTATCAAAATCACTGAAACATCTGGATTTTTTTCAGAAATAGATAAATTCATTTTAAAATTCAAATGGAACCTCAAGAGACCTTCAACCAAAGCAATCTTGGTTTTGCTCTTTCTGATTTCAAAGTTGAATACAAGGCTATGACCATCAGCATAATGCACACAATAGCTGGACATACAGGCCAGTGGAAGAGAACACAGAGCCCAGAACTAAACCATGTTTGAGGTGGTCATGTGATAATCGTGCCAAAGCTATCCAATGGGAGAAGAAAGTCTTTTAAACAAATTGGGAGCACTGGACGGCCACATGCAAAAGAATGCAGCTGGACCCTTATTTAACATCATCTACCAAAATTAACTCCAAATAGATCAAGGACTAAAACTATAGGACTCTTAGAATAGAACAAAATTTCAATTTGTTAGATTTGCCAATTCATTGGCTATGACGGGAAGAATTGCACAAGCAACAAGAGGAAACTAAATGTCGGACTTCATTAAAATTAAAAACTTTTGTCCAATAAAACACAGTATCAGCAAAGTGAAATCAGCAAAAGCTACTGAATGGATAAAAATATATATAAATCACTGATACGCAGTTAATGTCCAAAACATATAAAGAACTCTTGCAGCTCAAGAATTAAAAAGCAAGCCATAATTAGAAGTTGACAAAGGAGTTGAGTGGACATTTCTCCAAAAATATATATAACCAATAAGAATGTGAAAAGTTGATTTATACTAGTAATCAGTAAAACAATATAAATAAAAAACATAATACCACTTCAATTCATTAAGATGGCCATTCTCAAAAACAAAACAAAACGTAAACCAGGATGGTGGTGAGAGCGTGAATTAGAATCCTTGTGCCCTGCTGGAGGAATGTCAAATGGTGCAGCCACTATGGAAAGCAGCATGATGGTTCCTCAAAAAGTTAGACATAGAATTACCTTAGGACACAGCAATTCTGTTTCTGAACAGGTATCAAACACAGTTGAAACCCAGAACTCAAACAGGTATTTATAGACCCACACTCATGGCAGCATTGTTTACAACAGCCAAAAGGTAAAAGCAGCCCTGGGACCCATCAGTGTGTGAATGAGTAAACAAATGTGCAGAGATGCAGGGAATATTGTCCAATCTTTAAAAAGAAAGGCAATTCTGACTCACGCTACAACGGGAATGAGGACACTTTGCGAAGTGAAAAAAACCTGTCCCAAAGGGACAAATACTGTCTTCTTGCTCTTAAAACATATGAGTTGTGCAATTAATAAGTGGTCTCAGCCAGGCTTGCTGGGACACACCTGTACTCCCAGCTCCCTGGGAGCCTGAGGCAAGTGATCACAAGTTTGAGCCCAGCCTGGGCAACTTGAGGACTTAACAGGCTCAAAATTAAAAAATAAAAGGGCTAGGAGTTTAACTCAGTCATCAGTACTGAATTTAAAAAAAAAAGTGGGTTCAGTCATCAGTACTGAATTTAGAAAAAGTGACTTCTTTCGTAAGAATCGTCTAGAAAGTAGAGTGGTGGTTGCTAGGGTTTTGGGGGAAGGAGACCCTAGGAGGTCTCTAATGGATACAGATAGAGTTTGGGAGCATGAAAAATTCTGAGGGTGAATGTTGGTGATGGCCACATAATGGTGCAAATGTGCTTTATGTCACAAAACTGCATACCTAAAAATGGCTCAGACAGTAAATTTTGTTTCATGTATTTTGCCACAATGAAAAGTATCATTTATGTGGCCAAATGTGTTATCTACAGAGGAATTCATACTGCAAGCTTTACAGGCTTTTTGGAGATCCAGAGAGATTTAGTTTTATTGATGGTTCAAAAAAATAGAACATTCACAACAGATAAAGCTTGAAAAGTTTATTACTTCGCATTGTTGGGTATGGAAGGCTGAGTCTTTCATGTATAAGGCAGTGCTCTTTCATAGAGTCATATCTTCAATCCTCCTGAAAAGATATCTTTTTAAGCTACTATTTAGTTATTATTTTTCAGGTGGAAGGATGGTGAGGCCTTTTGAATTATTCAGATACAAGTGCCCTTCTCCTTGGTGCCTTGGGACAGAGCCCTGAGCCCCTGCAGCTAAGCCGCATTCCAACAGTACTTCCAGAGAGGAGAGAAAGCCTTGCAGGAAGGCTGATTCTGTTTATCATTCCTATCATTGTGGCTCTGGGTTAGAGAAGCGGAAGAGCGCGTCCACATGTGGGGAAAAGTGAGAAACAGAGTGAAGAAGCTGTTCTCCAAAGCCTACTTCCCAGTCAGGTTTGAGAGGGGTGTTGGAGAATGAGATTTTGATGGCGACAGTCTGGGGTGAGGGGGCAGTCAGCCTCCCGCTGGAAAGACAGGACGCTCTCAAAGGAAGGTAATTTGAGGGGAGTTTGGTGAAAGCCAGCCTCTTGTGGAACTGTGCAGGGAGGCAGACCTGGTTCCAACCTCCTGGTCTCCCTCCTGCCCCAGCTCTGTCCGCTGATCCATCCTTAACTGAAGCAGCAGGAAAGCACCCATGGGATGGCTGGCCCCATGCTCTGCCCACAGGACATGCAGCAGAGTGGGCGACAAGTGAATCTGGGATAGAGGAGAGGGAAAATGCAGAATCTTGCAAAAATAGCTCACCAAGGCAATGACTTCCTCCAGCGTGTGTTCTTCAAATCTCATCTGGGGGATATTTTTGTCCATACACTGACCCAGAAAACCTCATTTTCCCGTAACTAAAGAATGGAATTAGACAAAATGTGTGAAGAAAACCATGTCACCTCCTAGAATTTTTAAAACATGTTCTATCTGGAATTAATAGAATTAATAGCAAATGTAATTTTTCTCCAGAAAACATATTTTGTATTCGGAATTCCACTTATCCACAGGTTCTCTTCCCTGCCATAAGGCAGAAGATCAGTTCTGTCCACTCTGTATTGCTGCTTTAAAATTACTTAAGAGTTTGACTTGGTGCTTTTGAGTCATTGAGTCCTCATTAACTTAATATTCCTATGCTCAGTTTTATGTTTTCAAAATCATAAAAGTTCCTTGAAACAGGTTATCCCCCAGAGAGAGACTGGTGGTTAGGAACCTGAAACCTGGTTCAAATCCCACCTGTCACTTTTGAGCTGTCTGACCTTGGACAGATCCCTCCGTCACTCTGGGCCTCAGTTTCCTCATCTGTAAATTGGGGTCATAGCCGGACATACGATCTAGGATTAAATGAGGAGCTGTGTACTTAGCACAGAGCCTGACCCGTAGCGGGCGAGCAGGAAATGATGGCCATGGTTATCCCGTCTCTTCCTTGCTGTTTTGTCCCAACCACCCTTCTATTCCTACCCTCAACTTCTGCTTAGACTTCGCCTCTCCCAGCCTCTTTATTGGCAAGTCTCCCTCCCCTCTCCTCCTGTGTCCACTCAGATCGTGAGCACGTCCAACGCCTCCCAGGCCGTCACCCTGGTGTACGTCGTGGGCAACCACAGCGCGTTCCTCAATGGCACCGTGGCCAGCAGCCTCCTCAGCCAGCTCTCTGCCGAGCTGGTGGGATTCTACCTCACCTACCCGCCGCTCACCATTGCCGAACGTGAGTACGTCCCTGTGGCTAAGTGGAGCTCTCTGGTCCCAGGCCACTTGCCACCCCTGTTACAATGAAGTGACAGCTGAAGTGTGCTCCCTGGGGGTTGAATGGATGAGAAGCGTATTGCAGGTTGGTAGAAAGCACTTGTGAGGTAACTTTATCCGTCTCCTGTCTCATCTCATTGAGTCCTCACAGCCATCCTAGAAGATGGGCGCAAAATTAGATGAAAAAAGTTAGGGTTCACAAGATAACCACTGTCCTACTACCAGTGGGACAGGGGACCTGGGGTGTGAACCCCAGCAATCTGCCTTCTGAGCCCATAGTGCTGCCCATGAGGGCATCTCCCTGGGCACGATCTAGGCTGCTAAGGTTTTCTGCCATTCCTGCTGTCAGCCAATGTTCCCAGGCCTTCCTGCCCTGCCGGCTATAGATACCACGGTGCAGCCCATTTGCAGTCGGCGTCGTGACTATACTTGATGAAGTCCGCATAGTCTGTGGCCTCCTCATTTCTCCCCAAGGCTCCTGTTACATAATCCTCATTACCATGCAGCAGGCATGGACCTCTAAGACAATGCAGCCTACTTTTTGTTCCCAAATGCTTACTTGGTAGCCAAAGGAGGCAAAGGTTTATATTCCTCAATTTAATCAATCTTACATTTTACAAAGTCCCTGGGCAAGATTTTTTTTAAAAAACACACATTAGCAAAATTGTTTCATAATTTCCTTCTACGGTTGTTTTTGATGCTATAAATAAATGAGCCGATCTATAGAAATGGGGTACTTAGCACATATTACTACTGGGAGTTTTTTGAATATTTATTGGCAATTTGTTGGAGACTTCCATCTCGTAAGGAAAGATGACTTTGGGTTTTACGGAAAAGATGAGGTCATAAAACAATGGCATTATCTCACATGGAAACGTGCAGAATTTATTTGCTTTTTCATCTTGTGATAGTCTGATGATAACCATGGCTTAGATTTATTGAGCACTTACTATATACCAGGCACCATCCCAAGTCTCTGACATGTGTTACTTCTCACGGTCACCCTCCTTGTAAAGCAAATGAGACATATTGTTACAATCATTTGACTGCTAAACTTAAGCCCTTGACATTGGAAAAATCCATTGTCATTGAGTTAATCATTTCTAATGACTTTAATGATGGTTGGATAATTTTTAAAGACAAAGCTCCAGCTAAGACAGGTTGGAGGCCTGCGTTTTGATGAGGTTCTTTCTATTTAAGAGGGTTTGGGTGGAAAACCTGAAAGAGCAGAAATCCATAGACCCCAACAGTCCTTCATCAGAAGGTTGACCTTTTACTGAGTTTTCAGGTTTCTGAACAGCAAGATAGTTTGACTTTATCTTACAAAGTTCCTAAGCATGACAAAGAAGGATTTAGCTGCTTGCCAATTTGTCAATTAATTCCATGTTCCAGTTAATGATAATATTTACATATAAAACCTATAAAAGTAATTTGATGTGTCTCTTGTTCCTTTTAGCACTGGAATATCCCAATCTTGATATATCAGAAACAACCAGAGACTATTGGGTAATTACAGGTAATCTCTTATTTTCTGCCTCTTTTATAAGCAGCTTATTTTGTTTAAAACGGTATGTATTCCTTTCAGTGATTGGGGGGTACTTCTCTTTGATCTGTCTTATAAGTCAAGGAGTTCTTTTTATAGGACCAGAAGTGAGTGGATTCAGCTAAGAAAAGAAATCACACTGAAGGTGATTATTAGATAACTGATTCAAAAGTGCTACTATTTTTTTTCTTGTGATACTTGGGATTGAACCCAGCGCCTTTGCACTAAGCTACAACCCTAACTTTTATTTTTCATTTTGAGACAAACTCTTGCTAGATTGGTCAAGGCTCAGACATGCAATCTCATGCCTCAGCCTCCCAGAGCATTGGGGTTAAAGCGTGTGCCACCATGTCTGGCTACAACTGCTGCCTTTAAAATTCCCACCCAGCAGTGTCCTCTTGCAAAAAACTGAACTTATAATCAGAAAGGACAGTCCCGAGCTGTGAAGAATTATGTTTCCAGATGGCAGACTTTTCTGCATTGTCCTGCAAAAGCCAGTGCCAGTCAGAGGAACGTGTCTCCATCCCCCTAGCTCTAGTCCCACCCCCACACTGATCCCTGCGACTCTCATGGGGAGAGTGGCGAAGAACAAGAGGGTTGGGGTGATGGTTCCTTTTTATCCTTGATATTTTGCAACTGAACTTTGTGAAACATACAAAAATGTTCTGTGTATATTTTTTCAAAAGCCAGACAGTGGCTCTAAAAGTGAGAAAAACAGGGATTAGGTACAGAAGGAGAGGATAGACATTTGTAGGAGGAAAAGTGACCAAGGAGAGGAGCAGGGTGGCTGGGGGACTCTGTGAGTCTGCAGCCTGGGCTGGAGGCTTAAACTCCTGGGAGTTGCTTCCTGACAGTTCTGGTGACTGGGATCTGAGAGCAAGGTGCCTACAGATTGTTTCTTTGGGTTCCTGTCCTGGCTTGGAGAGGGTCCTCACTCTCTTCCCATGGCCTGTCGGGGTCCTCATGGCATGTTGGGTGAGGGCCCACATAATCATCTCATTGCAACTTCTCTGCTTCCTCAAACATCCTGTCTCTGAAGGCAGTCACACTCTGAGGAACGGGAGGGTTGGGGCTTCGACAGAAGAATTTGGGGGACACAATCAGTCCGTCATAAGGAGGGCGGAAGGGCCTTCCAGAGATGGAAGCTGTGCCTGGGCAAGCAGGCTAGTCTCAAATGCCCTTATTCCCTGCCCCATTCCTCCCTCCCTTTCTGTCCCAAACAAGTGGCAGATGACCTGCTGCCTGAAATATCAAGTAAGAACCATGGGTGCCCGCCAGACAAAGCTTGCTGGAGAATCTCTTCTAAATTGTGGAAAATTGAATTTTTCCCTCCCCTGCAGAGCCCTTGCTATGCAGAGCTTATTTTACCTGCGAAGAAGGCAAGCTAAAGACACAATTTAAAACTAAAATTTAAAACCAGCCTATCTAGGTTTATGCCCGAGAGAGACAGAGACAGTGCTAACCCAGCCAGTGGGTTATGTAACATTCAAAGTCGTCTTTTTTCCTCAAGGAACCTTGCTTCTTCACCGGCAGATACCTCTCCCTCCTTTAAACTCTGAAGTTTCCCTTTGCACATTACACTTCCCTCTTAAACACCCGCTGTCCTTGACTGCTAGTGCGCCATTGTCCCCTCCTGATTTCCTAGTGTCCTCCCCTGCCTTCGTTTGAGTGAGATCACTGTAAGAGAAAGCTCTGCACATTGTCCTGTTTCCAGGGCTCCTCTGGGCCCCCCCTCCCACCTGCCCGCTCACTTATGTAACCCGCATTCATTATGCTGAGTCCGCACTTGGAGAGTAGAGTGGGGTGGCCGCCATCACAGTGTTGGGGCTGCTCAGGATCAATTGCTTAGTACTTGAGACAGGCCGGAGCCAGGTTTCAGGGTCCCCCCACCACCTCCCCTTGGGCCTGTGGCCACTTTCTGAACGTGTAGGCAGCCACCACAGGCTGCTCCATCCTTCGAAGAGGGGCTGGGGACCGGGGACGGGGAGCTGAGAGATGAGACAGCTTCATTAAGCTGTTAGTCTCCGACAGCTGTCATAGCCTCTCTTCTGCTCATTGCTCATCGCAAAGAGGACTTGAAGAAACTTCTCTTTCTGCAGTTTGTACTTAAAATCCCACATGTTTTTAGCTGTTTTCCAACTAAATTATAGTACTTTTCTTTTTACACACTGTACATTTATCCTCTCCCAGAGGATGGATCTCTCTATGGAAAAATCACTGGTTTGGGGTGACCTCTGTGGCCCTCGTCCCCTCCTTTTGTAGTATTGGGAACTGAATCAGAGCCTTTGTGCTGAACAACATCCCTGACTCATTTTTAATTTTTGTTTTGAGACAGTGCCTCCTTAAGTTGCTAAGTTTCCCATGCTGAGCTCCCACTGACGCTTCTCCTGCCTCTGCTTCTTAGAGTGCTGGGATTGCAGGTGTGCACCATGCCACGTTCCTGTAGTCTCTCTTTGCAAAGAATCTGGGGGCTTCCTGGCTTCCACGACCCTACAGTTACATTTGTATATATGAGGCAAGATAGCAATATCCCAATTTGCCCAAAAAGAGATAAGAGCCTGCTTTGGGTTGATGAATCTTTATTTCACTCACCAGAGATGAAATACCCAGACATAGTAAGGCATGGATTTCCTGGTGTTGACTCTGTGATTAAGTACGCTGGGTATCCTTGAGCAGTTCACTCAGGCTCTGTGAGCTCTATACTCTGACCTTTAAAGGAGGGAAAGGTTTTAGCTAAGCACAAATCATCCAGCTCTGAATGTGTGAGATTCAACCACAAACAAAACAATCTAGCCAGAGTGCAGTGCGCTGGACCAGTCCTGATTGTGTGACTTGTAAAGCCAGTGTGATTGTAGGTAAAGAGGAGTAAGACAACTGTGATACAAAGTCATCCCATCTTCTGGATAAAGCTCAGGACCTGAGCCCCTCTTGCAGGCTGAATGAGTGGTGGCTGAGGGTGGGTGCAGGGCCCTGGCAGAGTTGCTGGGGCTGGAGTGTCTATGTCACATGAAGGATGTGGGTCCACACTCTTGGCCCCTTGGTGGGCAGAGGGCCATGGAGGCCAAAGCCTGCCACAGTTCTCAGGGGAAGGGAGAGAAGCCAGGTGCTGGGATCCATATCTTCCATGTTACTCCTTCTTCTGATAAGAATGTGTCTAGCAAAGGAGCAGTGCACTGGACAACTCCGATTGGTGTTTTGTTTTTGAGACAGGGTCTTTCTGTGCAGTCAGACTGGCCTTCATCTCATGGAGATTCTTCTGCCTCAACCTCCTGATTACTAAAGTGACAGATATATGCCAGTGCATGCAGCTCACTATAAATTATTGACCTCCTTTCATGTGCTCTGTACCACTGTGCCAGAAGCCTTTTTTATTGAATTATCTGTTCTGTACAAATGATATAATGTCGGGAGCAGATAGTATTCAGATGAAGAACTGCAACCCAGAGAAAATAAGTGACTTATCGAAGAATGTCCAGGAAGGGGGAGTCAGGACTCAAACCCGTGCCACGCCTCCAACCCCAGCTTCCTCAGTGGCTTCCTGGCAAGGATCTGCTTTCCTCACAGAGCTGCAAGGCAGCGTGTGAGGACCATGCAGGGTTGATTCTTACATCCCTGGGCATTCCTGTGCTCTCCTACATTTGCCTGGAGGCACACCCCCCAATTTTTTTTATTATAAAATACATGTATAAGATTTACCATTTTGTTGCACAATTCAGTGACATAAGAAATATTTACAACACTAAACCACGTGCATAGCATTTTCTATTCCCAGAACTTCTCTTATCACCTAAAAGCTTTGGAGCATTGCCTCTTTCTGATTGATTCATTGGTTGATCAATTGATTGATGCTGGCGATGGAACCCAAAGGTTCTGTGCTACTGAGCGCATCCCCAGACCTTTCTATTTTTCATTTTGAGATGGGGCTCATTGATCTGCTCAGGCTTGAATCTTCATGCTCAGCCTCCCATGTGGGTGGGATTACAGGTGTGCACCACCACACGCAGCTTAACTGTTGCCTTTATAGAAAGTCTACCTTTGCGTAGTAGCTGAGAGTCCCATAAAATAATCCATGAGGATGTCCCTTGACTATCGTGTGTCCCCTTCTCAGTTTCATCCACTTGTCAAAAGGGGCCAGGTTAGATATAACATTTCAACAAATTGGCCTATAATTTTATTAGAAGTGGGATTTTCTGTCCTCCAGGCACCTGGGCGACACAAATGTTCCATTCAGCCACCTGACCCAGTGAAGCAGCAGTGCTTTGTCTTTTTTGCAGGGATTTCAGCTGATGGATAACTCAGGAATCTTTCACAAGGATCCTAGAAAGAGCCACTTTATTCCCTCCAGGGGGATTATTTGACATTTATAACTCCAAAGAAGTAGTTTCAAAAACCCAGCTGTGGGTTTTACTTCTCTCTTGATCGGTTTCAACATCATTCTCATAGCTCATTGTGCTAGGCTGCTTGGTCTGGCCCTGTGTACAATGTGGTCATTAGTGCTGGTTATGGGCAGCACCCTGCTGCACAGGATACCATAAAGACAGCACGCTCTTCACACCCAGGCAATTTCCATACCCTGGTGAAACAGCGGCACCAGTGATCCTCGGCTGGACTGGTGGTAGAACAAACTCTATTAAATGAAAGCTTTTCTTTTGCATTCCTGCCCTTGTAAGTTTTGGTCTCTTGAAGAAAGTGGTTGTCATTTTTTTAATGCTTAAAATTTTGATGTAATTCTGTTTGGAAGCAGTAAATATGTGTTTCCCAAGGAACAAGGCACAAGGGCTAGACTTAGGGGTAGATAGGAAAAGGTAGTTTCCTCCATGGAAAGTGACCACAGCTAGACTGGCTCTAGAGCTCCTTAAACCCTCCAACATGGACTGGCCCTGGCTGGAAGCTCCAGATCAGTGCCTTAATGTGGATTCCAGATTCCCTGAAGCCTAGCAGTGGGGGAGGGATGGGAAAGAAAGCAACCACATTTACCTTCCATGCACTAGGCACAGTGCCGAGTTGCTTTATATCACCTGGAGACCGTCGGAAATGTTCACCGTGATATCTAGTCTTACTGCCTTTTTACAGAGGACTTGGACTCAGGGGTGGCCGGTGGTTTGCCAAAAGCCCCAGGGCTGGCAAGGGCCAGAGCTCACAGCAAGCCCACTCTTTTCATTAAGCTGATCCTACTCTTCAGGGAGAGAGGACCTGAGGGTCCCTGCACACCTTTAGGAGTGGGCACCAAAAGAACGCTGCAGAAGAGGAAGAGATGACACTGAGCAGAACAGTTTGCTGAGACACAAGACACTGAGTTGTCAGATGTAGCTGAGACTCCTCAGCTAAGCTGTTCAGAAAGAAAACTGCAGTCAGTGTAACCCTCAGCCATTGCTTTGGAGTGAGAACCAGCCAGTTTACTGTTCCTGCAGCTCTGCTGTGTTCCCATGTGGACTTTTAGCAGCAGGGATCATCCTAGCAAAACTTCAGCTTTGATAGAGCAGTGTTAGAGAGGTCACAGCTCATAAAGGGAAGCGCCCTGCCTTTGGAGTTACACAGGCTTGGGTTTACACTCTGACTCTTAGAAAAGTCACTGAAGCCTTTCTACACCTGGAACCTGTAGATGGGGATTCCTAGCTCCTGGGCTGTTGTGAAGGTGAAGTGAGGTAAGGACACCTAAGCCTGACAGGAGGCAGGGCAGTGGTCCTTAGTGGGCACACAGGGAAGGTGGTGGTTACTGTCACTGAGTCAACAAGGAGTCTGGCCATTGAGATCCCTTCTGCCTTCTGCACCTGTAGTGCTGCAGGGTGTGGACAACTCGCTTGTGGGCCTGCACAACCAGAGCTTTGCCCGAGTCATGGAGCAGCGCCTCGCCCAGCTGTTCATGATGTCCCAGCAACAAGGCCGGAGGTTTAAACGGGCCACCACCCTGGGAAGTTACACTGTGCAGGTAGGTGTGTGCGGTGCCACTGTGGGTGCATTTTCTTGTGTTATGGGGGAGCATCTTGGCTGCCACTGAATAAGCCATATTATCAGCACAGCTCTGAGGTTTCCACGGGTTAGGGTCAGTTCCAGCCTCCTCTATGATCAGTAAGAAAGGAGGTTACTGAACAGATTCTGCACACATGTAAAGGTTTATAAAATGAAAAGTTGTTCTGTTCATATTTAGTCTATTAAAGCACAGATCCCTTCAAGCTTGTAGTGGACCTGTGACCATGTAGTGATTTAGAAACGGATATAACAGCAAATGTGTTTAGGGGTGTTAAATAGCTGACTATATCAATGTTTTTGGATCATTGAACACAGCTGTTTGCAGTCTCCCTGTTTGAATGTCCACCTTGTATTCTTTGATACTGTGATTTGAGGAACTATTTTCAAGATGATAATATGTAATCTACTAACAGGTGATTTCTTACTGTTATGTTTTTTGTTTGTTTGTTTGTTTGTTTTGTTTTTTTTTGTAGTTCTGTATTACGTGTACCCTTACACCGCTTTGGTTTGTTTTGTGTTTTTCTCTTTTTCCTCTTAAATAAAAAAAAAAAAATAGAAAGGGGCATGGGGCAGGCACTTGTGTTGCTCCACCTATGCCCTCCAGCATTTCTAAGCATGCCAGCGGGAATTCCAACACCAACCCCAAATCTGTACTGCAGGGCTGCGCTTGGAATACTGGGAGTCACTTTGCCCAAGTTTTGCTGCCTGGAAATGTCTAGGAATTAACCAGTGGGTGGGGGGACAAATACCCCCACTTCCTCCCCTCTCCTCTAGGAAAATTCTGAAATGTATCTTGAAGATCATTTTCAGGGCTTTCAGAAAAGTCAGTTCCATTCACCCAGTGCAGTAAATGGCTTAATAGACTCTTCCCACCCGTGTATTACCGTCTCATTTTCCTCTCTGTTTCTCACCCCTCTCAGACTTCAAACACTCACCACTTTTCTGGGTTTACTTCTGAGAGAACGCCCTCAAGGTATTAAGGAGTAGCTATGCCCACAGAAAAGTTCTAAGCCTTCCTAGATACCTTGCCCAGTTCTAGCAAGAGTGGGAGTGTCTTGCATATTCTAACCAATCCACATATTTCACCAGTGGGAACCCACCTCTTATCGTTATGCTAATTGCCAAAGGATTCAGTAGCTGCCCCTGGAGGATGGTCTTCCTCATTGGACAGTCTAGCAGGCTACCCCTGCACGTGACCTTCTGATTGGTAATCCATCATGTCTAGCACACATGGAATCTCAAATAACTCATATTCTCTCCTTGTGTGAGTCAGCATCATGCCCCTGACAGGAGACTCTGGGTCCCCTTAGTTCACAGTTGTGAATTTGGTCCCTTGTCCTAATGGATGTTGCTTTGGTTCCAAAAGTCTTTGCAGTGCCTGTACAGCTTCATCACAAGGTAAAGGGATGGGTAATTTCATTTGCTGGGTTTATCGTTTCTCTTCTGTGCATCCCAAGCAAGCCTTATAATTCACACTTCTCCAAAAGACAGAAGGGAAGCCACTGGTGCTCAGATGACAGGGGTCTGCACCAGCAGAAAGGGAAAAAAGGGCTCATTCTACAACTCTGCGGCTGCCTGTAACCCAGAGCAAACCAACACATTCTGCATGTCTAAACAGGCCCAGAGAGATGTTTTCTCTCATTTTTGTTTTCCAGAGTGCTCGGTTCACTTGTTCATGTAGTTGCCTGGAGAGTCAGAGTGAAGCAAGTGGTTTCTTTTTATAAATCTCCACTTTACAGAGACTTTAGATGGCCTCTGGCATCACTTTTGGAAAAAGCATGCTAAGGAGAATTTGCTATTAAATTGAAATTGAGTGAAGCCAGTAGATATCTGAATGATGATTCACCCCTTCCTGGTTGTGCTAGCACTCTCCCGCCTCCTCTCGCACTAGGGTAAGGGAAAACATGCTCAACCTGCCCTCCCCAAATTCACTCTGCGTAGCTGCTGCTGCTGCTGCTGCTTTTTCTTGTTTCTCTTCCTCTTTCTCCTCCTCTTCTTCTTCTTCATCTTTTGGTACCAACCAGGATTCAAACTCAGGACCTTGAACTTGCCCAAGCAAACGCTGTGTCACTGGCTATATCCCTATCTTCCTATATAGCTTCTACCTTCCTTCTACCCAGAGGCTTTTCTTCTGGGCGTGAATAATTTTAAAAGATGAATTTCCTTCATGAATATTTAGGTAGTTCTCTAATTGATCTGATTGGAAAATTGAGTCCTAAGAAGACATCATCTGACCCATAGACATTTTTAAATTTTTGACTGCATCTGTAATCAACATAAAGCAAGTTTTAACTGCCACTTAGATGCCCTTGTTACCTGCCACAGATGTCAGTATGGGTGAATGAACACTTTCAAACAGAACAACCCTTGTGAACTTTCTGGAGTGCAAGTGAGTAGTTTAGACAAGAACATTTAGATGGTTACAAATTCCTCTTGAGGAGATAGGGGTAAACACAAAAGACAAAGGTAAGTACAATGTTTTCCAGAGAATATACAGAAAATGGGTCTTTAAGGTTCCTGACTTGGGCGAGGTCACATCCTATAAGTGTTTCTTGAAGATTCCCAAAGTATATCTGCATAACCAAATTCTAAGACATGCTTGAAACAAAGAAATCTCCTTAATTTTATCCAGCATAATGGTTTCCAAATTTAAATGTCAGTGAGACTCCTATAGTACATTGTTTTATTATGAACATTTTCAAGCTCACAGAAAAATTGGAAAAAATTATACTGCAAACACCAGTATACTCACTATCTAGCTACTAACAATTAACATATTATGTTTCTACTTCATAGAAATATCTATATTTCATTATGTATATCATTTCCCTACACATCTGTATATGTTCTAAAACGTATTTCCATGTACTTCCAAATCATAGTTTGATTTTGAAGTTCTAGTACTTCATACATATGGGGTACTTAGTATATACTCTTACAGAAAAATTTTATGGCTCAGTACTATAGTGTTGATGAGATTCATCTATGTTGTGTTATTTAGTGGTTTATTCATTTTTATTGCTGAGTAAGCTAACAATATTCTCTTGTGTGACTGTAGTGCTGTTTTGATTGTTTTTGTTATTGTTGTTGTTGTTGATGTGGTACTAAGCAAAGAATCCAGGAGTACTCTACCACTGAGTTATATTTATGTCATTTTGTTTTGTTTCGTTTTGTATGGCGAAGCCTTGCTCAGTTGTTCAGGTTGGCCTCAAATTTGTAATCCTACTCCCTTAGCCTCCCGAGTACCTAAGAATCGAGACCTGTGCTACTGTTCCCAGCTTATCTCTTCTTGTTATTTCTAATGTGTGGCTTTGAAACAAGAATACCATGCACATTTTTTTTTTTTTTTTTTGGCATAGATCACTATGGGGCTACATGCTCTCACCTCACCTGTATATATAGAAGGAGACTATCTGGTTCATAGGATTGGTATATGTTAGCTCCATAACACTACCAGGTCATTTCCCAATATTACATTACACTCTGCCAACCAGAGATGTTCCCTTTGCTTCACATACTTACCAACAAACATACGGTATTGTCAGTCCTTATTTTAGCCCTTCTGGTAGGTGGACAGTTGATGTCACATAATTTTAATTTAAATATCCCCGTTTAGCATGTTTGTTGTGCTTACTGGATATTCAGATATTTTATTAATTTCTTGATATCTTTGCCCATTTTTATTGTGTTGTACTAATATCTCCTTTTCAATGATTAGATATTGCATACATTCAACAGAATATTAAAAAAAAATGTGATTTCCAATTCCCTAATGAGAAGGAGCCACAACCAACCCAAAGGACAAGAACGTTACCCCCACCTTATCCCCAGGAGCTTTTTGTGTTGTTTTCTTTGATTATATTTCTTCCCATCCCATCAGAGTTGAGCATGGTTCTAAATTTTGTATTAAATCTGTATAGGTTTTACCATCCATATGTATATCCTTATATAATGTCATGTGGTTTTGCCAGTTTTGAATTTTATAATCTATGATTCATTTCTGTTGTTCAGCATCAGGCTTTTGTATTGATCCACACTGATACAAAATAGCCATAGTTTATTCATTTTCACTATGCATTATTTCATTGTGTGACAATTACTCATTTATGCAGACTGTTTTCAATGTGTTTTGAATTTTCAGGAGGTTTTTTTTTTTTGCCACTATGAACAAAATTGCTTTAAACATTTTTGTAACATCTTTTAATAGTCTATGAAACTAAAAATCTGTATTTTGGAAAATACTATATACTGTAATGTTTATCAGTTGTTAATGATAAGAGCAAAGCCCAAATGCTCAATATAATAAAGGAATAGTTAAGTTTACCAGGCATAGATATAGTAGAACACTATATAAGTGTTGTTGAAAGTTTAAACTTTTACATTTATGTTTATCCATTATTAATTATAGGAGTGAAAAATTAGAAGCAATGTTTAATAGTAAAGCATTTGTTAAATAAGTTTTTGGAGTAGACGTTTGAATACCATACGGAAATCAATATTTATGCTTTTGAAATGTTTGAGGCCATTCAAAGGTAAAAGCACATTTAGCAAGGTACAATATTATATGGACAGTATGAGAAATAATTTTATAAAACTTCAAAGGTTTCTGTGGCAAAAAAACCCCAAAAAACAAAACAAAACAAAACAAAAAAAACAAGCACTACCAGGAACTATTCCAAAGAATAATAGTACTTAGCTATGATAAAAGCATTGTAGATTATTTTTAGTTTATTTCATTTCTTGATGCTTTTCTGTATTTTCAGATCTTCCCAAATATGTCTAACTTTTATAATAAAAAAGTAGAAATACAGTAGTATTTGGAAGACAAACTTGGAGTTTCAAAATGTTGTATTATCAGTGATCTTTTGAATTGCAGATGTGTAGGTTAATTTTCTTTTTTCCTTTCTGCCAACAGCAGACATTTGAAATTAAAAATCTTGTTTGAGAATAACCTAGTGTGCCCTGAATTAATGTGGAAGCCTACTTTCAAATGAGGCCAGAGCTCTGTGGGGCCTGAGAAACATCCTATTCCATGTTTTCACCTTCTGCTTCAAACTGTGCTTTGCAGATGTTCGTATTTTTCAAAACCTCCCCCCACCTCATTTCATCTCACACTCCAACAATAGCAGGCTTCCAGAGGTTGGCAGTGGGGGGCCACAAAGGTTGATGTCTAGGCTGTACCATGTGGGTCCACATGGTTGCAGCCTACTGTAGCATGGGCCAAAAGCCTGCTGATTGCCCCAGGGCTGTACAAGATGTGCTGTCAACACACGGCCTCTTTTTTCCTGAAAGATGGTAAAGATGCAGCGTGTGCCGGGACCAAAGGACCCTGCAGAGCTCACCTATTACACTCTGTACAACGGAAAGCCCTTGCTGGGAACTGCAGCAGCCAAGATCCTGAGCACCATTGACTCCCAAAGGATGGCCTTGACTCTGCACCACGTTGTCCTTCTACAAGCTGACCGTAAGGGGACAGTCTTCTTTCTGCATTTTTAAAGCCATTAAATATTTTCTTGGAGTCTGACTCTTCCAACTCATGTTAATAGTGTTAGAGTTAAACATTTTTCTACCCTGGAAGATTCTTAAATCGATCAGCTATATTTTCTGTGTTGCATAAAGCCTTAGGTTTTGGGGAAGAAATGTGGTTTGTAATATCCAGATTACCTAATGATATCACGCTGCCCCCAAGTGATACTGCTTTTAGCCTGATCCTGTTATCTAGAGGACAGCTATGAAAGATTGCTATAGCTGAGATTATGTTTGTAGGCCTGGGAAATGAAAGATAATTAGATTCAATAGACATTTAGAGAGTCCAGTAGGAATTACGCCCAGTGCTAGGGGACACACACATGTTGACTGAGACCTGGCCCTGCCTTTAAGGGGCTGGGAGTTAATGCAGCTAGGAAGGAAGATTTGCAGGAGAGGCCTGGCCTAGGCAGTGTGACCCTGGGACCAGCAAAGGAAGCTTTGCTTTGAAGGGCCATCTGGAATGAAGATACAAAGCATGGCGTATTCAAAACAATAGCTGCCTCTGTGAGTACCGTCCCTAAGACAGCTACTGTGCCACTTGCTTCATCTAGATTTTCTCACCTTCTACTCTCATAGGAGCAGTGTTTATTTAGCTCTAAATTTCAGGAATGGAAACTGAATCTTAGAAGAATGAACTAAGCTGCTCGGCATTACAGAACTGGTACTTGGTTAGCCAGGATCTCATCTGGGTTTGTCTGACTTCAGAGCTGGGCTCTTACCTGTAGTATAGCAGAAGGAGAAGAGGGGGTGTGCTTCAGTGGAACAGCCCGAGGAAGAGAATGGAGAGAAGAAATATCAGGTGTGCTCGGAACACAGGAGTTCACATGGCTGGGATGAACGGGTGGAGGAGTCAGTGGAGCTGAAAGTGTGTATCTGTCAGGAGAATCAGTTCTTGAATGGCAGGAGAGGGGGATGGTTTATAATTCAAGGATGATCAAAATTATGGTTCATGTTTAAATTTTAAAAACGGGTACAGTAAAAGACAGTCCCCTCCCCTCAAACACAGCCCGTCATTCTTGCCACTTTTCTCCAATAGTTCTAGAAGTCCTCTTTCACAAACACCTCTAGTTGTGTGGTCACAGCTGCCTCGATGTCCTCCTAAACTGATTCAAAATGTTTACCTTCCATGGTGATTTTGGCTTTCAGGAAGAGCCAGAAGTCAGACACTGGGTGCCAGATCCAGTGAATGAAGTAGATGAGGGCGCACTGTTCTGTTTTTGTGAGCCCACCTTCCTGTTCAGCTATACTCAGCACATCTCCTAAAGATGCTCAGAAAAAAGAAAACTGATTCAGAGAGTGACAAAAGCAACGGGATACGTGTGTTCAAAGTGAGGGGGCGTATCCCGAGGCATATTGACAACAATGTGTCTTTTACTGTAATAACTGTTTAAAAATTTAAACACTGTAGTTTTGGACCGGCTCCTATACTTGGGTTATGGAGAGCAACTAAAGATTTCTGAGTGGAGCAGTTCATTGGCAGTTTAAGGAGGTTGAACGTGTCCAGGATGGGAGGAGACGGGAAGTGGCAGAACCAGTAAGGAAGCTGTGTGGTGTCCCCAGGCACTGGGGACCTAAACAAAGTCTGTAAAGAACGCGAGAGAGGGAAGGGTGCAAAGGTGTGAGACAGCGTGCAGCGACATCCTGAGCATGAAGGCCAGGGGCCTGCTGTCCTCCGTTTCCTAGCTGATGTCCGTGTGCTCAAGGAGCGGCGGGTTGGTGTGCACACCTGGCTACGGTTTTCCTCTCTTTTCCTCTCTTCTTTCATGAGGAACAACTTTTGCCTCCAGGGTTCTGACCACATGTTGTCCTGCTTGCCCAGCACCTTTGCCCAGGAAAGACGCTGGCCAGTCTCCGCAGGCTTGTTTCTAAAATGACATTTTCAACTGAGATTCTGTCCCTCTGCATTTCTCCCTGGCCTCCTCTTGGGCTCTGTATTCATGTCTGTCAACTACTCGCTTCCTCTCTTTTGCTATAACCTTTCTAAGTGGATTCTTCAGGATCCACTCCTCTCTTCCTCTCCCTCTTTTCCTCTCCCTATCTCTCAACATAGAGGACAGCAGTGAAAACCAAGAGAGAGGTAAAGGCACTGGGGCAGAGGCTCAGAGAAGTGGATGGATTCAGGATATTTGGAGGACAGAGCTGAGGATGAGATAATGGATTCTATGTGTGGCAGGAGGAGGAGCTGGATGGATAGAGGAACCAAGATTGACTTCTAGGTATTTGCTTGACCTCAGTTTGGTGCCATTTCGAGAGGTGCCAAAGATTGCGGGGGGGGGGGTGCGCAAAGAGGCTTCCTGAGGCTGGAATGGAAACATTGGAGATGGAATTAGAGTCTGGTTTTTGCCATGTTAGGTTTGAGATGTCTGTGAGGCTTCCCTGGAGCTCAGGAAAGGTGGACATGGGGGAGATGGCACTCAGAGCTGGGGGGTGGATGAGTCAGTAGGAGAGGAGTCTACTAGGGAGACAAGGGGCAGTGGGGCTCGGATCCGCCTGCAGAAGAGTGAGAGCCAGCAGAGGACAGAGAGAAGGAACAGCAAGAGGTAAAAGGAAAGCCAGGCAAGAGCGGGGCTCAGAATTCAAGGAAGAAAGAGACTTTCAGGAAGGAGTGAACTGCTGGGGAGAGGCAGGGCTCAGGATGGTTGGGAAGCCATGGGATTGGGAAGGTGAAGGTTGGCCGTGACCTTCGCAGTTATTTCTGGGATGAGTTTGGCCGAGAAGAGGATCTCAGTTGGAAAGTAGTGATATTCATTCAAAAAATGCTACTTAAAGGAAGCTGTGGAGTACTATTTTGGTGAAAGAGCCTCACTCTTGTTCATTCCTTCAAAAATATTCACTAAGAATCTACTGTGTGCCATGCACTGGCATAGGTACTGCAGAGACAGCAGTGAATAAAACTGATAAAGAAGTCCCTGCCCTAACAGACCTAACATTCCTGGCAGGACAGACTCAGGAGACGAAATAAGCAATGAATTAGTGCTAGTAAGTGCTTGGGGGAAGTGGGCAGGGGAGGGCTGGGAATATTAAGGAGGCAGTGGTTGCTGTTTTAGATGGTTCGGGGAGGGGTCAGTAAGAGGATCAGTGAACAGCCAAGGGGAGGAAGGAAGGAAGTGGTCCCTGTTGATACCTGCAGATTCCAGGCAGAGGAGAGTTTGAGATCCAGCCAGGGGTGACTGTGTAGGCAGAGTGATATGATGTCACAGACACAGATGAGGCCTGTGGTCACTGATCTTCATGGGTGGCTCTGAGGGGGATGAAAACCATTGGAGGGCTTGGCCAGGAGAAATATGTGGACTCAGCACTCCCCAGCAGCTGAGGCTTGTGCACATTCTCCTTAGCATCCGCTTCCACCCTCTGGGGACTCTAATATTTGAGACCTAGTAGGTATCGACCACAAAAAGGAGCTGGAAACAGTCTCGAACAGGTTCCTCCTCCTTTCACTGTTTGCTCCACAGAAGGAATTTATTCTGTGCTTGGATCATTTGGATTTTCAACTTCTTTCCTTCTGACAGATCCTCCTGTGTGCATGTGTAAAACTCACACATCCACTCCGGTGTGTAAACTCGGAAATTTTGTTCTAGAGGAAATGACTTTTCAGTGTAAGCATCCAGCCTCTCCAGGGCGGAGCTCAGTTTTGCCTACTGTGAATTGGGGTGACATTAGCTCACTGGCAAAAGACACAGCTCTGGAGCTAACACAAAACAGGTGCTCAGAGCACGTTGTCTTCATTCCCTTTCTGTTTTCTGGTCACTCTTGCAATTTAAATCACCACTAATTCCTTTTCACCTCTGAACATGACTTTGTGCTTTTAGATCGGGAGCCAATGGAATATATTGGGTTTGGATGACTTCAGTTGACCTCACTTCAATATCACTTAAATGACTTTATTAATGTACACAAGATAAATCTATTCTCTTACCTTTTAAACACAGGTGAAAGGATTTTACATGCTGCACCTAGAAAAAAAATACATCCGCCTAAACAGTGATACTGAGTAAAGGCAGAGCACATAAATACTTCATTCTTGCTGATGAGAAAAATCATACATGGCTATTTACCTGGAATATACACTGAGATTCTGTACATTTTTATCATCAAGATAGGATAGTCTGGCCAAAAGGTATATTGATAGTTTTCACAGATGCTCTAAGCTTTGAAAAATGTTAATGATACAAACACAAAACTCACATATAAAGTCTGAGTTACTAAAAGCAGTGGCAATTAAATGTGTAATGTCAACAGACACACATCATCTAATGGGCTGTTTTCAGAAGTTAATAATGTGAGTAATCACTGGTTGATAAGAGCTGTGGGAATAGAAATTTTTCTGTACTAATAATATTCTGAGCCCAACAAGGTGTCAGTTGAAATCAGGAGGTGACTGGAGGTAGAAACAACCCTCAGAAAATCCCTTACCACGTGGTGGTTAACAGTAGGATCTTTATATCCCAAAGTCCTCAGCTTCGAGAGCTCTCTTTTATTGTTTTGGAGGATGCTCTTCTTCATGGTACACTATGTAAATGTCCTTCACCTCTGTTTAGATGAGGATAGAATAGATTTGTCTTGTGTACATTAATAAATTCATGTTGTTGGACAAAGTGATATTAAAATTAGGTCAGCTGAAGTAATTCAAACCCAAAGTATTCATTGACGCACAATCTCAAACTATAAAGTCATCTGCAGAGGTGATCCTCAGAATTCAGCAGGATCAGGAAGCCCCAGTTATGCTAAACAGACTCTAAATAGAATGATACATAAACTGGATTATGAGTATATTCATTTAAATATGGACTAGACTAGATTAACCACACAGATGGGATTTATAACTTGTTGATAGTCTGTCCTATTAGAATATCTGTAGAGGGAGTCAAATTGCAACAAGGATAATGGTAGTTCATGTATGCATGCCTTCAATTTTTAATTGAAAACATATTATGTGCAAGACTCTATTAGAGTCCTCATATCACCAGCAAGGAAAATTGATATGGATCCATCTTCCTCCTCTTAGTACTAATGGAGGATAGTTTTATTGAGCCCCTTATGAGGGCCCATACTAAAACATTACAAAGTGATGATTCCATTTTACAGATGAATGAACCAAGACTCAGAGGGCTCAAGCCACTTCCCCAAGGTCACACACTGCTGAGGCACAGCCTCTCTGACCTTGAACCCTCTTAACCTCTGCTTCCTCCCATCTGTCTCAGGACTCAGGGTTGGGGCGGAGGGATTTATGTCTGGGTTGCTTCCCTCTCCCTAGTGCTCCTTGTCACATGCTTCCTGCTGGCTCCCTCCCACAGCCGTGGTGAAGAACCCACCCAACAATCTGTGGATCATTGCTGCCGTCCTGGCGCCCATTGCTGTGGTCACGGTCATCATCATCATCATCACTGCTGTGCTCTGCAGGAAGAACAAGAACGACTTCAAGCCAGACACCATGATAAATCTGCCTCAGAGAGCAAAGGTTTGTGAGGAGTGGGGGAGGAATTCCAGCCTGCAGGTCTTTCCTGCTGGGCTTTGGAGCCATCACAGGAGCCTTCAGAAATACTGGTACAAGTCTAGTTTGGAGGAAACCCTCTATTTCATGATCTGAACCTGATAAATAATGTTTATCTGATGCTCTTTCTTTGCCCCATAGGCTCCCAGGCAATTTATGTGTATGTAGCAGCTCTCTAATCTTGACAGCATCCTTTTGAGGAGGACCATCTTGTTACAGGGGAAGAAACTGAGGCACAGAAAACTAGGACCTGGAGAGAACGGAAAGGACCTTACAAATGATTTCATTGCATTGCCTCCTTTTATGCATGGGAAAGTAACTCCTTCAAGGTCATATGGTTTATAAAAGGCAGAAGTAGTGGAAGGGCCAGATCTGCTATGATCAGAATGTTTGTGCCCTCCAAATTCATATGCTAAAATTATAACCCCCCACTGATGGTATTAGGAGTTAGGTCTTTGGGAGATAATTAGCTCATGAGGATGGAGCTCCTGGGAATGAGATTAGTGCCCTTGGTAAAGAAGCCCTGGATAGTTCTCTTGCTTCCTGCGCTGTGTGATCATGTAAGAAGTGGGCAGTCTGAAGCCTGGCAGAGGGTTGCATTTCTGTCACTAGATACAATACCCAACACCTACAGCTGAAAGGAGAGGTTTATTTTGGTTCACAGTTCAAATCCATGGTTGACTGATGCCAAAGCAGAAACCGGATGGCAGGTGGCCATAGCTAACAAAGAGTTGCTCATGACATAGTGGCCAGGGAGAAGGGAGAGAAAGGAGATTCCTAGGAAGGAGATATACCCTTCCAGGTCACACCCCTGTGACCTGCGTCTTCCAATAAGACCCCAGCTCCTAACAACACATTCAGCTGTGAATTATTCAATAGATTAATTCAGGCTGGGGATTTAGCTCAGCGGCATGAGTGCCTGCCTTACAAGCAGGCAGTCGTGAGTTCGATCCCTGGTACCGAAAAAGACAAAAAAAAAAAATAGATTAATTCAATGATGAGTATATCATCTCCATGATCCAATCTTTTTCCAAAAGTCTCACCTTCGAACACATGAGATTTTGGAGAGATATCCTAGATCTAAACCCTAATAGACCTGCTCCAGAACCCAGCCACACTGGCATCTTGATCTTGGATTCCTCGGCTCCAGAACTGGGAGTGGGAAATAAATGTCTGCTGTTTGTAAGCCTAGCTGTCTATGGTATTTTGTCATGCCAGCCCAACCTGACTGTGAGATGGTCTCAGCTTCTAATGCAAGCTTCCTTTGAGCACACTGACTTCCAAATGTTCTCCTAACTGGAGTGACTTCCCTTTAGCGGCTGCCTTGATATAAAGCTACAGGGCCAGAGCAGGGTTGCTGCTGAAAGACAGATCCATGGCTCCCCTAAAGCCTGGTTTGAGTTCTATTCTTCCTCTGTTGCCTGCATGTCCCTGCTCCATCCACCTCTGGGGACTGGCAAGGCAGTGGACTGAAAAGACTCTGAAGGCGGATTTTCTGGTCACATAGCCACCTTTGTGATATTCCCCCAGAGAAATATTCTGACTGTAACCCGTACTTGGTGTTTAAATAATGCCTTACAATTCGCTGGGCCCTTCTAAATCTGTCACCTTGTTTGTTCTTCACGGCAGCCCTCTGAGGTTGGTCACACTCAGGGCAGGTTTTATTATCCTTGTTGAGCTGCCAAGAAACCAAAAAGAGAAATGTTAGGACTTGTCCAGAGTCACACAACCAACAGAAGCTCACAGCTGAGTCTTTGACCTCTTTCTTCATGGCATACTTACTTGTACCCTGGAATCTGGGAGACAGGAGCTTGTCCAAGCTCTGAGCCTCTGATCTTTGTCTTCTTGTGTAGAAATGAAGTGGCAAATTCCTGCCACACTTCATACCCATGGGACATGGAGATTATCCTTCCTGTGGTCACACACCCCTCCATTCTTCTGCGCCATCACACCTCACATGAGCAAAAGAAATCAAAGGATTGTTATTATTTGCAAAACCCATACACCTGTTGGGAAGCTGCAGCTTGATTAGACATTCTGTCTGCTGAAAAGCCAAATCCCAAAGAATGCTCTTCTACTTCTTTGGATGTGAAGGCACCTGCTTCACACACACAGCAGGATGCTGGTAGGAAGGGTACACTGGGACTTGCCAAGCTGTGAAAAACAAAGCCGTTCCAAGAAGAAATAGGTAGTGACAACATGCACCTTTCAGACTGCACAAATAATTACCAGAACCTAGTTGTATCTGAGTCCAGAAATGAGAGTGTGCCATGCTGAGGTTGAATGTGGCATCTCTGTGTTATAGATTAAACTAGTCTTATTCATCTGCCAAGATGAGTTGGGCAACACAAGATTACAGCATACCTTCAGGCATGAAAGCTCTCCAGAGCTAGAATAGATGAAATGTTTATGGTTTCCACAGCTCCCTTTGTGTGCCTATCCCATGCATTGTGCCTCTTGAGATATCTGGCTGATATTATGAATCAAGCAAATCGATGTTCTGAGAGCTGATAGCAATCACTTGTGTTCAGGGCTGCTGGTTGTCTTCCTGTTCAATTAGGCTGGGGAAGGCACTTTGATATCCAAAGCTCTTTTGTCATAGGAAGCCAGAGAAGTAGTGGAATTGGCTGGGTCTTGCTGCAGTCCTGCGGCTGCAAGCCAGGGACACTGCAGTGTCTGAGAGAGAGAGCCGGCTATATCACCTCTCATGACTGTGTGTGTGATCAGAATTCAATGAATGCCAAGGGACAAGACAATGAAAAAATTGGCCTTCACCACCAATCCACAGAGTAGGTGGATGGCCCCAGAGGACATCACTGCGTCGTTAGAATGCAGGCTACAGTGCCTGAGGAAGTCCTCAGGACCTTCCTGAGATGCAATAATAAACATAACATGCTAAGCAGAGGAGCTGGCTGTGGCTTTCCTGGGAGCTGAGGCCAGGGCATGGATGCTGCACCTGTCTTCAGAGACCACGTACATAGACAAACCCCTGACCATTGTTGTCAGCTGGGCTGCTGCTGGTAGGATGCTGAAGCTTATGAATACAACGAGCCTAGATTCTTGGCTTTTGTTACCTTCCTTCCTTTGTAGTTCACGTTGCTTTATTCTTTGTCATTGATCGACAGCCTTTGCCCTCTGGTTTTCCCCTTTATATAATTAAAAAGAACATGACTCCTTGGCTTCCTTAGGAGCAAGTAATCAGGGCCACAACAAGATGTAGGGCAGCCTGGGTGGCATGAACATCTGCTTGGGACAGGACACTCATCCCCTGAGAAGAGCCACCTGTTTTCTGTTCCTTACATGCAACCTGTATGCCCTCACAAAGTTATGTAACCTCTTTGTGCTTCAGTTTGCCCATCTGTGATACGGAGGTGATAACAATATTAACGGATAGGTCCTTGTAAGCATTAAGTGAGTATATGTGAATTGCCATGTGCTACGCCTGGTACAAAATAAACATTATATAAGAATTGGCCTTTAGTGTTCCATGTGGGCTGGGAAGCAGAATAGAGAAACTCCCAGAAATTATTTAAACATGCTTGTTGGTTCTTTCCTACCTCACTATTAATCATCAGTTGGATTTTGCTCACAGCTGCCTTGTTCACTTGGAATTTCAGACACTGTGCAATAAAAGCCTTGCTAATTCCCTGGGAATGAATTACAGGAGAGTCAGCCTGTTTAAGTGAGAAGTCTGGATGAAAGAACAGGTCTCTAAATTCTGTGTCACTACCGATGATTCGGTTGCTTTCGCCTGTGTAGCACATTTCCCTCTCTTCTCTGCCATCTACTTTAATGCTCAGAGGTAGTGAAAGTAAAACAATTAAGAGTGTCTTTACTTCTCAGAGGAGAAAAATTGATGTTCAGAGTTCAAGTGATTTGGCAAAGTCATACAAATGCTATTACACCTAAAGCTGTATGTGAGTAGAATTCAGGAGCAACCAGATATTTCTAGGCATGGGGACTGTTACATCTTAATTAGTGGATCAACCAGCACTTGCTTCCAACTAGCAGTCCGAGAAAGAACTGATTCCCACACACCTATTTGTACCATATTTGCACGCATCCTTTTTCCAGGCAAGTCTTAATCTGTAGAGATTCACTTCCTGAGAGGAATTGACACGGGTTCTGATTTTGCAGGGCACAGTAACAGTGTGGATTTGAGTTGGCTCTTGCTCATCAGAAAGAGCTCTACTCCTGTCTCATGTGTTTTGCTTCCTGTCTACTCTTAGAACCACCACTGGAGACAGTTCCCTAGAAAGATGACTATGAATCTCTTTCATCTTCGCAGCCTGTGCAAGGCTTTGACTATGCCAAGCAGCACCTGGGCCAGCAAGGGGCAGACGAGGAAGTCATCCCTGTGACACAGGAGACCGTGGTCCTCCCCCTGCCAGTTAGAGATGCTCCTCAGGAGAGGGATGTTGCTCAGGATGGGAGCACCATCAAGACGGCCAAGTCCACCGAAACCAGAAAAAGGTAGGCAGGGGCCAACTTCTTCCTTTCCCTGTCACCAGGAGAAATCCCTGATGGATGGTAGGGGTAGCTGTTGCCTCAAGCGGGTTGCCCAGGTCTCTTTAGAAAGTCCCTTCATGCTCCTTTTGAATACTACAAAGGAGACTAAAGGACACTATGAGAGTCACATTCCCTGCTCTCTCTGGGATGCCCTTTTTGAGACTTTATGTCACTGATCAGTCACTCCCGTGAAAATATAGCTCCTCTATTTATGCTAGCAAAGTTGGTTCTGATGTCACACTCATGGTTTTAATGTCTTTTAAAAGCAGTGCCTTTCATTCAGGATACTTGGAATTTATCGGGCAGCTTCTCAATAGTTTCTGATTCCAGTCAAAACCATTTATGGAGTTTTTACCATAACAGAGCATTTTGACAGGCATCAGGAGGACTACAAAAATGTGAGAGAATAATTGCTGACCCAGGGATCTCATGATGGAGGAGACTGAGTGATAAATAGTGGAATACGTGTGACCCTGTGTGAATGCCTGCATGGGTCTAAGTGTTGCAACAAAGAGAGGAAGAGGACTTAATGCTGCTCAGGGGAACATCCCGGGACAGGTTGTTTTAGCCATGCCTTGAAGGGTGGGGCGGAAGGGTCTGGGTAGGAAGGAAGAGATAAAGGCATCCATCTGAAAGAGTGGGGAAGGAAGAGGATGGTGAGTGCTGCCAGAGTTCATAGTGGTTGGGATGTAGTGAAGGATAAAAAGAGAAGATGGATTAAAATCACAGACCATCTTGATCACCAGGCTAAGGAGTGTTACTCTCTAGCCAGTGAGAAGCTATTGAGAGTTCTTTTGGAAGGGGCAATGACATCCAGTGTGTATTTCAAAAAGACCACTCTGGTGATGATGTGGATGATAAGGGGGAGAATTAGGTCAGAGACTCATTACAAGCACTTCGACAGATTTATAAAGAGGTCGTGAGCCCCAGGGTAGGTCCTGCTGGCTGGCAAGACCAGCGTCCATTGCTTACCCGCTCCTGTCCTGCCCAAGGCCACTGTGGAGACTGGAGAAGCCACATATTTTTAGTGTCATTCTTTTTTTGCCTCCCTTTATCTAATATACATTCCTGTACTTGTTTGCTGTTTGCCAGACACTGGAGATATTTCAGTGAACAAGACACAGAGTTTGTGTTTTCATGGAGTTTATAATCTGGTAGGGAGAAATAGGTAATAAATAATGAAATAGATAAGGTCTATTTATTTCCAGGTCAAATGGTGAAGAGTACCAAGAAGGAAATAAAAGCACAGTAATGGGACAGAGAGGTGGGAGGGAGAGCATAGTTCTATTTTAGACAGGCTGACTTGCCGTCTGAGGTGACCCATGTCACTGAGACCTCTTCCCATCTGGTTTCTCATCCTCCAGCAAGCTAGTCCTGGCTTTCTCCCAAGGTGATTCCAAGGGCAATGAGAAAAACTAGCTTCCATATACAAGCATTTTCCAACTCTCTGCTTGTGTGATAGAAGGCTTCCCCAAAGCTCGATTACTGAGATATAAAGCTCAATTAGAGAGTCTCTGCAGCAGGGAAGTACACTATCAGAGAGATGAGCAAAGAACACAAGTTGAGATGCACAGAGAAGCAACAGATGATTGATCTGAGTTGGCTTGCAAATCCTGTTATCTATAGCAATTATTCTCATTATGATCTTTGTCAGATAGAATAAAGGCATATTGACAACTTATTTATTACTTATTTAGAAGACACTGAAAAGAAATAGAATTACTAGAATTAGGATATTAACACAGCACTTCCAGAACAAATAAAAATTCTTTTTCAACTATTTGCGTTGAGTAAATTGTGTAATTATTAATTTTATAAAAACTATTAAACTAGCATTTCTTCTTGGATTAGCAAGGTGTTGCCTCTTGCTAACTGAGTTTAATTTTTTACTTCAGATTTTTATTTAGAAATATTAGCTTGTGAAACAGCAGATAAAACCACTATACTGCTGCATGGTTTCCACATTTACTGCATTATTATTTCATCATAAAAATATAATCTTATCAGGGGCCAACTGTATCATTGCCCAGACTGTGGTAGAAACCTCATCCATGTTCAAGTCTAGTTTCTCAAGCAACTCTCATATCATTAGGAAAAATCCTAAATACCAAATCCATCATGAATCATGTTTCTGCTTTCTCTATCTTTCTGTATCAGTTTCCTCATCCAACCTAGATATGGACGACAGGATCCCTGTGCAAGATGAGTCTGTTAGATGACCCAAAACATTTTGTAAATAAAAATAAGAGAAACCAAGTATTTGATAGTTTTCCACATGCTTCCATTTTTTAAAATGATTTTCAAGCAGAAATCTGAAGATTCAGTCACTCGCATGCTGTTATAGGTTCTTTTCCTCTGGTTTAGGGTCTTGGGGGTGCTATGGTGTTAGTCTATGGCTGAAGCTGAATCAACCTCATAGGGACAGTCATTTGCAAAGGACACTTAGTGATAGGCTCTAATTTTTCAGTAGTTGATTCATCCCCACCCCAAAGACTCTCCTTCCAGGCCGTGTCTACCACTAGTCTCAGAATGGGGGACCATTAAGTTCAATCTCACAGGTGATGTGTTTTTGCTTTCAGAAATACTTTGCCATCATGAGAGTATACACACATACAGTCTGTCTCTGGTTTTGATTAGGAGTTTGGAGTCGCTGACTTCTTGTAAACAGAACTCTACAAGCTCACGCAAAGAACAGAGTTGGGTTTCCTTTACCCAGATTTGCTCATTGACATCTTCATTGGAGTGAAAGGAACAGTCAGAAAATTGCTTCAGAAGTAAATGATGGAAAGGGTCTTAAAATGTTACAGAATATTTAAGTAATTTGCACGTGTAAAATAGGTTACAAAAAGCTTTTCTCTTTGCTTTTTCCCCAAGAATTAAATCAAAGCCTTTTATTCCAATAAAGCCAGCTGGAAGAGTAGGTCCTGTTAACCGTGTGATTCTGAAAACAAGCCCGCGTGTATGACTTCTCTACATCTGTGTATTTATACACCCCACATTGAGTAATCAAATAGCTGTTGGGTAAATAAATAATACATATTAATTAATGCCCAATCCATATTTTCCCAGAATACATTTCCCAGACGACTAATTTTATAGGATATTTTTAAAAGTTTTATGTAAAGAGATTTATAGCTACATAAATTATAAAATGCTGGACTTAATGAAACAAAATGCATCTGTGACAGAACCTTTGATATGCTAATGTGCCTTAGGAATCTCCTCCCAAGAATGGGTAGAGTAAACATTCCTGAGACTTTGTGCGTGGAAGTTGGACTCTACTGCTCCATAGAACACTCTTGCACATGCTGCTTTGTCCCCAACTTCCCAGCTTTCTCACTGCTGGTGGGCTTAGGGTCCTGATTGTGCAGAACTGAGAGCTCAGGGCACCCAGAGGAGAGGGAAGGTGCAAGGTGGCCCATCCGCAAGGACACACAGCTCCTACCTCACTGGCTGCCGACCTCTTGGGTGAGGCATTGATTCCAGTCATGTTTTCCACTGGGGACCAGGGCTCAGTGCCCTTTTTTGCTAAATGTGGACTATTAACATGAAAGGAGAAGCCTCCAGGTATCTGCTTCCTAATGGCCTTCTGCAAAGGCAGGTGATTGATCTGCACTCCAGGCTGGTGCAGATCTCCAGGGGGCTCTGAAGAAGCCACTTTCCCAGAGTTGCAGAAGGTGAGAGTCTGGCCCTGAATGAAGGGAAAAAGACCCTGTGACTTGCCATCATCTGGGGTCCCTGTAGGGAATAACAAAAGAGAGTGTTCTGGGCTGTGGGCGGAGGGACTTTCCTGTTTCCACTCCCACTGCCCAGTTCTGTCCCAGACAACACACTTCACCTCTATGAGCTCCATATGCCTCACTTACTAACACTGACCATTGTCAAGTCAGGGGAGCATCACAACCAGTTTGGGGAGCACTCAGCACACAGTGGGAGCTCTTTATGGAGCTCTGAGATAGCACAGTGTGGGTTAGTATCTACAGACCTGGATGCCTGGCACGAAGAGGCACACAAAAAAAGAATCTCCAAAACTTTAGGGCCTAAAGGAACAGGTAACTCAAATTGTCTGTTTCACAATGTAAGTGACTTCTGATTAGCACAGTTAAAGAAAGAGTGAGTGAGTGTGTGTGTGTGTGTGTGTGTGTGTGTGTGTGTGTGATGCGTATGTGTGATTGACAGGGTGAGGGCCCCAAAGTGGGTGAGTTAATCTTTGGTAGGCAGGGTCTATGCCTTGAAAGAGAATAGTCAAAATGAACCATGGCTTGTACATGTCTGAAGAGGCCCTTGTGATTCAAACACTCAGCATCCAGCATGCCATGTGTTGAAAGGAGACCATGCTATACAAACACTGTGCCCTGTTTCCATGGTCACTGAGTGTTAATGAAACTGAGAGGGGCCTTCGGGCTGCGCTCACTAAACTTGTCTGCAGAGCCAGCGGAGCCAGTAAACACACTTCCAAACAGTCAGCTGCCTCACCCATGTGGTAGTGTGGGTGGGTTTGCTTCTCTTCTTCTCATGTATCATTTCTTCTTTGCCAGCAGAGATAAAACGAAAAGCTACAGACATAAACTGTGCAAATAAAATAACCTTCAGAGGTGACTGCTCTAGTGAAACTTACCATCTTCCCTGTTGCTATGGTTACTCCAGCAGGTCGCCCAGTGAGAATGGCTCTGTCATCAGCAACGAATCAGGGAAGCCCAGCTCAGGGAGACGCTCACCCCAGAATGTAATGGCACAGCAGAAGGTGACAAAGGAGGAGGCAAGGAAGAGAAATGGTGAGAAGCCTGCCTACCAAGCACCACCCCAGCCCCTCCCTGTGGGTGCTTGCACACCCGAGCATCCATTCACACACTCGGCATGCTCTAACCTCTCCTTTCTATTCTGCCTGCAGGGGCCAGAGCCTCTTGGATGATTGTTCTAACCCTTTCTCTGAATTGTTCTAGCAAACCTCCTCTGCTCTTGTTCAGGAATTGTGCAGTCCCTTAGAAAAACCACTGTAAAACAAAGTGATGTTTGCTTAGAGATTTTTCTCATCCTTGAATGGATGGATGTGGATTCTGGCCCCAAGTCTGCAAAGGCATCTGGTCTCTGAAATGCTGGCTATTCTAAAGGTTTCTTTCCATTTCTTGCCCTGATGGTTTTGGTGAGTTTCAGGGGTTCAATCTGTCATTAGTGAATCTAGATACTGCCAATCTAACTCTCCCCAGAAAAAACCAATAGACAGATTTGTCAATTTAAAAAAAAAATCAGCCTTATGCTTCATTTTTCTGTTTTATCTCTGGCACACACAGATCATTTTCCTCCTTCATAATGTGTTAGTGTTTGGGGTTTATGTCTAAGTTCTTGAGCTCTCTGATTGTGTAGGGCACCATCTGTGTTACCTCTGTTGAACATCGTTGTGCTGTCTTGCTGTCCTCCTCATCCGTCACCTTGGTTCTTTCCCTCATCCCTTCATGGTCCTTCTGCATATGAGGATGCTTGCAGGAGCCCAGAATTCCAGCACCCAGCACTCCAATTTCATATCATGAAAAATCCCTTCTGAATTTCAAAGAGTTGTGAATGAAGCCCTACAGAAATGCCAGGTGAACAGTACACATCCTGGCACTCTACTTAACTGGGCTTCACCTTTTCAAGGGGTTTGATGATGTGCAATGCAGGGGTCTCTCTTGAAGCTAGTGCCAAAAGAATCTTATCTACTTCTTTTCTTCTGTCCAAAAGAGATACGGAATGTAGGAAGGAAGGAAACAAGGAAAGAAGGAAGGAAGGAAGGAAGGAAGGAAGGAAGGAAGGAAGGAAGGAAGGAAGGAAGAGAGAGAGAGAGAATCTTTGCATTCTGCAGAGAAAATACAGTCCCTGTTCCCATTTCCAGCTTTTACATAAAGCGCTTGTTAAATTCTCATGTCTATTTGACTCTTAAATTTTTCTTCCCTTGAATTCTGTGTGCTCTGGAAGACAGAAGCTGCTTTCTGCATCAGAATTAGGGTGTGACCTGTGAGACTTTTCTGGAATATCTGCACTACCTGAGATAGCCAGAAACCCTGCTATCAGTTGTGTGCCAGGAAGCACATAAGGAACATTCTAGAGTCAGAGGAGCTCTGAGCTCAGGAAGAGGGACTCAGGCTTAGCAAATTTCTTCTCTTTCTTCCCCAGGCAAAATGCTAAGAGACATGGGTAAAGAGAGCAAGGTGACAGCACAGACAACAGACATTGAAGCCATACAGGAAGATTTTTTATTTTAACTAAGTACAGCCATCTTTCCATGCCTAAGTATTCTGCAACCTTATATTCAGCCAATGGTGGATTTAAAATAGTGGAAAAAATCGAACATGGACAGACCTCTTTTGCTTGTCATAACAACTGTTTATGTAATATTCATATTGTTTTGAGTGTACAGGTCATTGGAGATGATTTAAAGTATATGAAAGGTTGTGTGCAGGTTACTTGTAAATAGTATGTCGTTTATTCAAGGAGCTTGAACAGCCACAGGTTTTGGTGTCTGTGGGCTTCTTGCAACCAATTCTCTATGGATGCTGCATTGGCCATGGCCAGCTCATCAAACTGGTGCCCATCCACCCTCTTACCCTGCCTCCTCCGCCTCCCCTTACTCTTCCCCTCCCTTCTTTCCTTCCTTTATACACTTTCTGGAGCTTTATAAAGTCAAAAGCCACTCCTGCCTTCAGATGCCTCCTCACTCTCCCATCCTAGACCTCGACTGACTCTGAATAACTCAGTGTGTGTTTCTCTGACCCTTTTACTATCTGTGTGTCTTAGCATCTTGCTTTGTTTCCTTTGTTATAAAAGGAAATCGATATGCTTATTGTTCTATGTGCTTTTTCTTGCTTAAAAATGTGCAAAGCACAGATTTCTCTGTCAGACATTTGCGTATGATCCTTTCCCTGCCTCTGTGTTTAGTTTGTAGAGTATGTGGTTTCTGATCCCGTCACTCCCCATGAGGCTCCTGAAACCCTGTCCTGCTCTAAGAGTCTCTGCTGACCACTACTGCCATTCCTGTTTGTTCAGTCTCCCCCACCCTTCTTATTTTAAAGCACTGTGATTATTTAAATATTAGGTTCAGAAATAATGACAGACAGGCAACTACTGTTTCAAGCTGAGGTTTTTTGGGTTTTTTACATTTTGCATTAAAATTTTTTAATTTTACAGAGAATAAAAACAATAAAAATGATACATAATTTCAAAACAAGATCATAGGAAATTAGCAATGATTATTATGTTGTATATTGTTATCTTCAGAATAATTGCTCAGAATACCAGATATAGGCATGCAAAATTGATCAAATATAAGCACTAACTATTCCTTTCAATGAAGTCACAGAATTAGTAGTACAATTATTTTAACTATCTTGTGTATGTATTTATATATATACATATTTCCCTTCCTTCTTTTCTCCTTTCTCCCATCCCAGTTGTTCTCTCCTTTTGAGCAGTTTCTTTCCCTTTCACAATATCTGTTGCACCTTTTGGATCATATTTACTCTTTCAGTTTCTTACACTAAGGAGACAATATGATGTTTCCATATATAAGTCTGATTTATTTCACTTATGAGTATGGTCTCTAGTTGTATCCATTTAACTATAAAAGCCCTGCATTTCTTTATAGTTGAGTAGTACTCCATTGTATAACAATACATCTTGTTTTATCCATTCCTCAGTCGATGGGCATTTGGGTTGTTTCCAAGATTTAGCTATTACAAATTAAGCTGCTATAAACATAGGTGTACATATATTGCTGTGGTATGATGTTTTCAGTTCTTCTGGAAGAATACCCAGAAAGAGAATAGTTGGGTCAAATGGGACTTCTAATCCTAGTATTTTGAGGAATCTCACCCTGATTTCCATAGTGGTTACACCAGCCTACACTACCACCAACAATGAGAAAGCATTCTTTTTTTCTCCACAGCCTTGCTAGCATTTGGAGGTTTTTTCCCTGCTAGCATTTGTTATTGGATGATTTTTTTTTTTTTTTATGACATCCATCTAGAGGAAACATTCCTGAAATTCCTGTGGAACCAGAAGGGACCTAGAATAGCAAAGGCAATCCTGGGCAAACAAAAGCATCACAATTCCTGATTTGAAATTATACTACAATGCTACTACAATAAAATCAGTATAGTACTGGCAAAAAAAAAGGCAGACCTAAGTATCAGTGGAACAGACTAGAAGAATTACAAAGACAGTCAACCACCTTATCTTTGACAAAGGGGCCAAACACTTTCACCAGAAAAAAGATAGCCTCTTCAATAAATGGTGCTGGAAAAACTGACTTTCCACATGCTGACTACTAAAACTAGACCCATGTCTATCACCATGCACTAAAGTCAAAATGGAGAAAAGATTTAAATATTAAAAAAAGAAACACTAAATCTACTGGAAGACAAACTAGTTAGAAATCTTGAAGACATAGGGATAGGCCGAGACTTCATGAACCAAAACCCGACTGCATGGAAAATACATCAAAGAATCAACAATTGGGATCTCTTCTTATTAAAAAGCTTTTGCACATTAAAAGAAATCACCAACAGAGTGAAAAGAAAACCCACAAATTGGGAAAAAATTTTAGCCAATTGTCCCTCCGACAAAGGATTTTATCCAGAACATACAAAAATTTTTAAAAATCAGGGCCACTAAATTCAAAGACCTAGTTCAAAAGTGAGCATAAGAGATAGATACATACTTCTCATTATGATGAAATAAAAGTGACAAATAAATATATGATAAAATGTTCAACATTGTTGGTCACTTGAGAAATGTAAATTAAAGCAACACTGAGATTCCATCTCATTCCAGAAAGGCTGAGGTTTTTATTTGTTTGATTAAGAAGCCATTTGTTTGATTAAAGTGCCTCCCTGGTTGCATTTTATTTTGGTCACAAGTAAAACCAGTGAGTCCCCAGGATTGGTCGCTTCTGCTTTACCACAGGTTTCTGTTCGGTGAACGCATCGGAATTCTAGAATAAACCTCTATGAGACTTACATTTTTTTTTTAATCAGAAGATCCCCTCCCTTTTAATACTAGGTAAGAGTTAACCAGTAAAGTCAATAATGTATTTGACTGGGTTAGAAGATGACCCAAAGGGAGGAAGAGAGGGAGAGAGGAAGACAGTAACCATGAATGGGACTGTGGAGAAATCAGAAATATGTATTTCCATCCCCCTTGCTGCAAAAACTATTGAGCACTTGTTGTATGCAAGCTCTGAGAACAGATTATTCTGCTAGTGCCAAAGATTCGTTTTGTCTCATGGTTTAGTGTTTATCCTAGAGTCTAGGGAGGCTAAGAATAGTTAACAACATTAATGTATAGGCTGCAATTCTAAAACTGTTCCTGTTTCCCACCAGGTTTTTGCAGCTGTAACTCCTGATATCATCTTTTGTGAAAATAGAAACTTTAAAAGGAAAAAACCCTAGTCTGCTAGCAGCATGGCTGGTAGGATCCTTGTAGCTTAGCGGACTCGTTAGCTACCAGAGCTTCAGGGCTGTTTCAGAGTCTATTTTATGGAAATATTTTAATACAAGTAGGAAACTTAGACATGACAGCTGGGATTTTAAAAGCAGAAACAGTTCGATGTTTTTCTCAACGAAATACATATATTTGAACTTCTGAGTCACCTTTGAAAATGTCTTTTTCCAGTAAAGTTAAAAGCAAATTCAAGATTTGAACAGATAGATATAGAGATTTAGATAGATATTCTTTTACAATTTCGATCATCTAAGAGCAAACAATGTCCCTAAACCCTTGATTTCAGAGATTTCACTGTCGGCGTTCAGGATCTAACCAGATCTTGTCTCCTGATATTATTCACAGGAAGATGAGGCAAGAGAAGAACAAGAACTAGAGTTTTGAGGATGAATTAGCACTTCCTCGGCAGGGATCTGAGGCTAAGATGAAGACTTACAGGGAGGTCCTTCAGTGATAGTAGCTCAGGATCACAGTTTCAGCTTTTATTTGTTCTTTGCTCTCCCAGTGAAGTGAAGACTTGCTTTTCTTATTTTATTTTGAATTGTATATATTCAAGGGGTACAGTGTGATTTTAAATACTTGTATACATGTGGAATGATCAAATCACAGTATTCAGCATGTCAGATAACTCTGGACGGCTGTAACACTAGTTGTAGATTACTTGTCTTTGAACTTTTAACAGACATTGGGGAAAGGAGGAGCATGACTTGTTGCACAGGCTTTTCTGCCTCCAGTGTGGCAGGGCTGTCCCTCCTGCCAATTCAAACATGAAAAAAAAAATGGTATCTTTTCTTCCAGGCTAATTTACTGAAATGAAAACCAACAATGCAAATAAGCCACAAAATACAAGAACTGTGCGTAGGATATGACAGCATCTTGACTTAAACTTCTTCAGTTTAACTGTGGTCCTTGCCTTTAACACCTCTCTTTCCTTTGGGGGATAATTGAGCATTAAATCCCCCATGAACCTATTGTACTCACAGCAGTTTAATGTGTTCATGTTTAATGCAGTGCCTTTAATTTAACTTTCCATAAAGTCAGAAGATACCTAAATATTTTTCTCTTTTAAAAAACCTAGGAGAATAAATAAATAAAACGTAGGAGAATTGTTGTATAAATAAGAATATGCCTTTCGAGGGGAATTTTTCCTGTCAGAGTTATGCTGCCCACATAACTCCATCTGTAGAGTGAGGAACAGGAATGCCACAACCCAGAAGCAATAAAGATGCTCAGTGCTGTCTCTCCACCTTGTGAACAGCTCAGTTCTGGCTTGAGCCTTCTACCTGATGCCTGGTCACCCGGTACTAACAAGATCTCCTTTTCCAAGTCAGGAGAGGCAAGACATTCTTCCTTCACTCACGTGTACTCGTTGAATCTTTTATTGAAGACAAGCAGCACATGAAACACTATGAATGCCAACAGGCCTCGGCCTTGAGGAGATGGTCAGATGTAAAACTGATGGTCTGGTTTCAGGGACAAGGACAGACTCTCAGTTAATACAGTAAATCAGTAGAAATAAATGACAGGAAGAAAATATAGCAAGACAGTGACGGGATCGCTGTAAGTTGGTGGTTAGAGAAAATATCTTCATGTAATGACCTACAGAAAGAATTCTGAACTGAGTAAATAGCTAATGCAAAATTTCTGAGGTGCCAACATGCCTGCTGGGTCCCAGAAGGCCACGGTGGTGGATCAGAGTGGATAACAAGAGAAATAGGAGATGGGCTCAGCAAGGTGACCAGCACCGGCTCCTCCAGGGCCTGGTAGGAAACAGATGTGGCTTTCAGAAGGCTCTGATGAGAGTGGGGACATGATCTGGTTCCCTTTGGGAAACATGGGCCTTCCTAGCTACTAAGGGAGATATATTCTAGGGGTAGAGTGATGGGAGGAGACACTGAGGTAGACGACTGTTTAGAAGGTAAATAGGTCACTCATTACTACATCACCCCTATACTTAATGACCTGAAATGAAAGTCTGTATTTATTATCTCACATACTGTCTGTAGGGCAAGAATTTAGAAGTAGTTTAGCTGGATAATTCTGGTTCAGCATTTCTTGTGAGGCCACAGGAAAGATGTTGGCCTCGAAGGTAGTTATCTAAAAGTCTTGACTAGGCCTAACGATGGCTAGCTCAGGTTAGGCAGAAGGCCTCAGTTGAGGCCTTTCCACAGGGCTGCTTGAGTGTTCTCGTAACATGATGGCTGACTGTTTCCTGAGTAATTGATCCAAGAGACAGTAAGGTGGAAAGTTTTGTTTTTGTTTTTTTTTAACAACCAAACCTTGGAAGCAAAACAATGTTATTTCCCTAGTTTCTTCTTGGTTTCAAAGATCAGTCCCATTCATTGGTGTATATGAGTATCAGGAGTTGACAAGATGACAAGAAGTCATCTTGGAGACTAGTCAGTTACTATAGTTGACTTTTATTGTAGTTGTCTAGGTGGGAGAGAATGACAGTTATGAGTTGCCCAGCAAAACTACCCTCTAAAATTATATATGTGTCCAGTAACATGTCTGAATAGAGATTGTTATTGTACCTAGAACTTAAAAAAAATCTGATTAAAACCTATTGTTTGACTCCACGGGGTCTTAGCCACATTGTAAAATAACAATATACTTGGCTAATTGATAGATTTTCTAGGATTATGGTAAGTGGCAAAATGATATAAACTATGTGTTTTTCAATAATTAAACAACATCCCAATCTCTTGAGCAGACAGGAGGAATGATAAATATACTTCCATTGCATTCATATTTTATATATAATACCTATTGTGCTTCTAAATTGTCTACTGGGTTAGTTATTTGAGCAAGCTTAATTTATCTCTTGCCAAGCCATGCTCAAGACACTATCATTCCTATAGTTATTTCACGGGACTGTGGTTTAAGAACAAATAAATCGGCGAGATACCAGTGGCCCTGGAACATTTGTGTGCTCAGTTATGAAAGCGGGAAGCTGACTGGTGTTTTTTTAGCTGTCTATCACAGCAGAGTGATCTGTTCGACAGGAGAATTAATTTAATAAAGCGTGGGTGAAATCAGCGTTTAATTAGGGGACTCATCCATAGCTTCACATTAGTTTCTCTGGTAAGTTATTTCATAGCTTTCTTTTGTTTTAGACAAATGAAAGTAACCAAAGCCCAAATCATTGGAGAAGCTGCCTTCAAAAAGAAAAAAAAAAAAAAGGAAAAGTGACCACATTTAACTTCATGCAAAACTTGATGGCTTTAGTGGCATGGACTGCGCTGAATGCCATCGGTCTGGTAGTAATTGGATTTTAAGAACAGTGCCAGGGTTTGGCCAGTTCACCATTCTCATTTCTAAAAACATAGAGGTCAAATATACTTTTTAATTTTTTTCAGTGTTGTCACAGATTGGGGGTGGGTTTTGATGCTTAATTTCATATCTTTAAAGCTTTTTTCTATCCACTGATTACATAATGGCAGGATAAATAGTATAGATCTTAAATTTAAAAGAAAAACCCGAGCAGCAGGGAGCGCTTGGCACAGGACCAGATGCTGTTGTCTCTGCGGTTATTTTGAGTAAAGGAATGTCCTTCAGGGGCCGCGAGCCTTATATCTATTCTCCCCTACATCGTAAAACTGATGGGTTTGTGTTGTGCTCTAGTGCCCGGCAGTGACGAAGAGGAAGGTGCCGTTCTGTTTGACAGCTCTGGCAAAGTGACAGCAGATCCCTTCGACACATCTTCTGGATCTGTGCAGCTCATCGCGATCAAACCCACCGCCCTGCCCATGGTGCAGCCCATCTCAGACAGGAGCCAGGACTCCTCAGCGGTGCTCAATGGTGAGGTGAGCAACCTGTGTGACCCGGTACGGCAAGTTCAGCCAGGTCTGGGGGATTCAAGTTAGGGCACAGCCCCTCAGCGTGCTGGGTACTGCGGCTCTAAAGATCATTTTTACCTTTGCACATAAGAGACTTCATGGGAGTGACTTAAGATACAAGTCACCAAAACAAGTCTGTTAAGGGGTTTTCAGACCATTTTCTACCATCAGTGAAAATCCAGAGAGAACCTTTAAAGCTCTGTGATTATGAAAAGAAACATCAGAAACTTTATGCCCCCCAACATGCATACACCCCCCCGACACACACACAGACACACATATATAACCCTTTCACTTTTATTTAGCACACATATTAATCTTCCATTAGAGATGTTGAGGTTTTGGGAGGGGTGTGAATTGAGTGGGAGGTCAAGAATTTATCATCACTTGGGCAGGGATAGGGCCCACTATCACCTTTGAAATGACATTTATTCCTTTGGGCTAACTGCTTTTATAAGGATACCAATGGATGTCACAATGTTAATCAACTTTCCTGAGTAAAACAAACAAACAAGCAAACTCTGTAACATATGTCAGAGAGTGGTGATTTTATCAAAGAAAACCAGACTTCATAGATAATATGAGAGATAAGGCATAATTCTTGGCAGATAGTAAGTGTTGATAGATAATAGGTAGTTGATGAGAAATTCTGGAGGACAAGAAATCGGGTGGAAATTGTCTACTGTTGCTCCATTTTCTGTAGCAGAATAGCCAAGGGGCTAAAAATGTTTATGAATCTTTAAGAATATGCTTGTAGAACCTACTTGTGAAAATTTAAGTTATACATGTACACACACACACACACACACACACACACACTGACTCAAACACACTGTTACACTTTGCTCTGGTGATAAGACACTAGATTGGTTATTCATTACATTTATATGTACCCTGCCATTTTTTCCTTCAAGAAGAAATTTCCAAAGTTTTAAACTCTTCTTCCCATCACACCTCAAGGAACGAACCACAACCCTGTGCAGCTGGGTGTGTAACTGCACATGGTAATGGTCGACCATCCAGGACATTTATAAAAACGCTCATGAACCTAGCTCAGGAAGTGTCTCAGGGCAGAAAGACTGAGCTTACCTATAGATAGGCTGAGGTTCACCACAGCTTATTTTAGATTTATGGAGCACTGCTGTTTCCATGTCCTCAGTTTTTAGACAAAAATCCTAAAGCCTGAGGGGGTCACGTGGCTTGCTCAAAGTCACACTGAAGGTCACTGTGGCAGGCATCATATTCAGGTGCCCTGACTCCCCATCCAGTGCTCCTTCCTCTCTTCAACAGCAGCGTGCTTAAAAAGCATCTGAATCCAGGCTGCCAGGGTTTGAATCCCAGGTCCTGTACTTAGTGTCTGTCTGACCTTAGCTGGGTTAGTTGACTCCTCCAAGCTTCAGCATCTCCACTGTAAAATGGAACTGCTCTGAGGCCCTAATCAGTTGGTACCCGTAAGGCATGCGGAATTACGTCCAACATATAGTAAGCACTTTTTCTTACTATCAGTTGGTCAACAAGAAGGGTGGATTCATATGAGGTATGGTCAGAATATACAATGAATACTTAAATTCTAAAAATTTACTACAGTAAAAGACACATTGCCATTATTTCCCCTCAGTACACTGCCCCCACTTCAAACATACTCTCCTTGTTGTTCTCATCATTTTCTGAAGCTGTTCTGGAAGTCCCCTTTCATGAGTGTCTTTAGTTGCTGTTTTGTGGCTGCCTTGATGTCCCCTGATCGATTTTAAATGTTTACATTTCATGGTCATTACATTTTGATTGGGGGAAGAGCCAGCAGTCACACAGCACTATACAGCTGGTGAATAAGGTGGCTGAGGACACAGCATAATGCTTTTATGAGCCTGCCTTTCTGCTGGATGGCACCAGGCAGCAGCAGTCAACCTATTTTTTATTGCACCTCATAAAGACACTCACAGAAGACGACTTCCAGAACTCGGTTAGAAAGTGCCAAGTGTTTGGAGTGAGAGGAATACTCACAGGGGGATAAATGGCATTGTGTCTCTTATGATAATAAATTTTTATTAAAGCACACCGTATTTTTTGATCAGTCCTTGTGTGTACCTTATTCCCCATGGCTCTATCATTTGCCTGAATGTCTTCCTAAAACCAGTCACAGCCACTGAATCTTTCTGCCACCAGACAAGCAAGCCTGTCATGTTAAATCAATGAGGTTTGATCTTGCTGAGGACCTACTGCCTGGTTGTGGACCCAGTCATGACTGCCATGGCTGGATTCTCTGTCACAGCTTAAGGACAAGAATATCATCAAGATAGACTCCAAATCTGGGGCAGATTTGACTCCTCACCCCCTTTTTCTTCCCAGACTCATCACCCTGTCACAGAAGGAGAACAGATGAGCATTTTCTTTGTCCAGAAATGGATTCTTGCTACATTTGGGCAGTGAGAGGAAGGGACTTTGCTGCCATTTGGATTGGAAGAGAGCCCTGAACTGTTCACTATAATTTGTGGCCTAGTGGAGCTTGATCCAGATTGCTCTATAATTTTCTTTCTTCTTTTCTTAATGGTAGCTGGCCTAAAAGAAAAAGCATAACCCCTAAGCCACAAACTTCCCTTTTATGAATTATAGGAAATTATTTTAAAGAAAACATAATCACAACATAGAAAGTTCAGAAATGGAGGAGTGACATCTTCATTTATTTATGAAGCATGGCCATCTCTTACATCTTTCACAGGTCGGAGGGACATTAGCCATGTTTCTTTCTGAAAGACCACACTATGGGTTTTGCCCATAGAGCAGAACCTGGTTGGCATTCATAGTTATACAGAGCTTTAAAATAATTTCTCTTTTCAAACAGACATGGATTTACAGAAATGTGTTTTCACATGCAGGCTGGTCACATGGCAAGGCCTTGGGAACAGAATGTTTGTTCTGCCTTCCCACCCATCCATTCCAACTCACCCACTTCAGGGCTGTCTCATCCGGCTGAGCCTCTGCTAAATGGTCAGGGGAAGTTCTAGGCCCCAGGGACTGGCTCTGGACTCAGGGTACCAACAACTTGCTGGGCTGTCAGGTCAGAGCCCCTTACCCCAAGGACCCGAAAAGGTATAGGCAGAATTAAGGCAAATTCTGGAAAGCAAAGAGCCCAGAGTCAGATCTAAACCAGAACAGTGTCGGGCAGACTCGGGAAAAGGTCTTGACAGAAGGACTCGGGTGACTTAGAGAGTGCCCAACCTCACATTGTTTGGGGCTCCATGCGTGGGTCTGGTTGGTTCAGGGAACCAGAGTAGAAGCCTTGGGCGGCCTTTCCAGGAGCTGTGACCTTCTGGTGAAAGTCTCCCAGCTGTGGCCATGCTGGGTCAAGTCCCTGCTTGAGATAGTCTCTCTCCTCAGGTGAACAAAGCCTTGAAGCAGAAGTCAGACATCGAGCACTATCGGAACAAGCTGCGCCTCAAAGCCAAGAGGAAGGGATATTACGACTTCCCTGCAGTGGAGACAAACAAGGGCCTGACCGAAAGGAAAAAGGTGTACGAAAAAGCCCCAAAGGAAATGGAGCACGTTTTGGACGCAGACTCAGAACTGTGTGCTCCGTATGCTGAGTCTAAAAACAGGTGCAGAATCTATGGGATTCCTTTTTTTCCTCAAATAAATTTATAATTTTATTAGTATGCTAGAGATGCGTAATGAATATATTCATCATGGAGAATTGGTGCATATACGAATTCCGTCTTGATCCTCGTTACTTCCCCTTCCCTTTCCTTTCCTCCATCTCCCCCATCTCCACGTCCCCTTCCCATCTCCACAAAGTCTATCTTCCTGTTTCCTAGCACATCTCTTTTACTTTGCTCACTTTTTGGCTTCAGGTTTCTCATACAGGAGAAAACATGCCTTGGTTAACTTTCTGTGTCTGATTTATTTCACTTAGCAAGACAGACTCGAGGGATTCTCTTTAGGTCATTGTAGCATGGGTGGGATGGTGGCAGATAGAGCCACCTTGTAGACTTGGTTCCTCCATCTAGAGGAATTGGGATCTTTGTGGGCCATGGATCTGGGCCCCCCTGGTCCATGCGGGCAAGTACTCCATAATGAACCTAGAGGAGACTAAAATTGAAGCTATTTTAAAAATACTAGGGCAAACAACCATAATTGTCCTTTAGTTTAATAATGTTTTCAAGCCAGTTGCTGTTTCAGAGCTGGGTGAAGATATAATTATCACTTTACCTATTCATGCAACTTCTAGATCAAGGGACATTGTATTTTTCAGTTATGTTGGTGGCTCTTGCATAGAAAAGCAAATTTCACACCTCAGCTTTGCATTCATCCTCGGGAGGTATTCACCATGCTGCTGCTCAGCCCTGTGGGCCAGATCATCTCATTCATTCATCCATTTTGCTTTGCTGTTCAGCATTCCTTGTCCCCTGCTGTGTGTCAGGCACCAGTCAAGAGGAACCACACACTGACTCGTCAATGTGTGCCTTTTCTCATTCATTCCTTCGATTCCTTCAATATTTATGAAGATTAGATAGTCTGATTACTGTTCCTGTTGATCTGATGAGAGTGAGAAAACCCCACTCACAGGCCTGATGGATGTGGGAGGGGCGGGTGGCCTGGTCTTTCAGACATTGCTCAGCGAGGTGATTTGAATTGGTGTCTGTCTCAGCCTGTTCTGTGCTGCTATCACAGAACACCTGAAACTGGGTCATTTATAATGAACAGAAATTAATTTTTCACAATCCTAGAGACTGGAAGGCTACAATCAAGGTACCAGCATCCTGTAAGGGCTTTCTTCCTTCATTGTCACATAGTGTAAGACAGAAAGGGACAAGTGGAGGCCCAGCCTAACACTGGCATTAATGTGGCTCATGAGGACAGAATCTTGTGGCCCTGTCACCTTCTAAATGTGCCACTCGTCATACTGCCAAAGCGACAGCTAAATGTCCACATGAGTTTTGAAGGGGAGGAACACTCCAGCCAGAGCTGTGCCTTCCAGGCTTTGCTGCCAGCTGAGCAGAGTGGCCTCACACACGGGAGAGAGTGATGGCACAGTTCCTGACCTGAATGGGTATTTATGCAAAGCAAAAATGATTCTGTGACAGGCTTGAGTCAAAGCCACAAGATCAAGTAGGGAGGTGGGACTAACTTTCATGAATCGAATCAATGTAATTTATTTTCAGTAAAGAAAAGAGGAAATTCTAAACTAGGGCTTAATTTACCATGCTTCCCATTAGACTGGGTTGGTGTGAGACATAAAATCACACCATGACTGGGCTTTACAATGCATGTGTCACCATGTTAGCAGCAGTGGGAAAAGAGAGGAAAAGGATGGATTTTAAAAGAGAGACTGGTGTCAACTTTAGATTTTACTTTGCACTTTTGGACTCTGTTTCAGTGGTCTTTATACACTGAGCTGGTTGCTATTTCCCTGAGTCTCCTGCTGATACTTGAGGAAAATGAATGAACCATGATATATATTTATATGGGAAGCTTAGCTTGGGTATTACTGGACCAGTAAGTACAATTTTTGGTGATGGCCTTTTCTAAAAAGAAAACGAACCCAAAATGAAAGCAGCCATTTTCTGTGAGCTCCAGGCCACATGCTGAAGGTTCTTTGGTGGCTTTTCCTGCTGCTGCTGCTGCTGCTGCTGCTATATGTATGGTTGATGCTCAGCATATCTCCATTGGAAAAAAATGATTCAGTGAAGCTCCCGAAATATATTTTTAAAATTTGATTAGTTAAGGGGAAAAGATGGGTAGCCACAGACTGACTGAGCTGGGGAATAGGAATGGAGAGAGTGCATCAGTGAGAGGTGGGGTTGGGGAGAGAGACAGTCAGAAGACAGAAGCAGACTCTCCCTCAGATCAGCTTGGAGGAGGCCCCAGCAAGCTCGGAGGTGTTATTCCTGACACAGACTGTTGTTGACACCATAGCTGCCTGCTGTTTAATCTCTTGTCAGGTGAGAGCTACCTGTTAATTGCTGTTCACAGCACAACCCTCCAGAGATTCTGCCACAGCAGGGCACAGAGAAGGGATGATTCTTCCATCCAGAAGGAGCGCCAGTAGCCAGAATTTTACCTTCCGACCAAAGTTAAATAAAGTGACACAAAGTTTAGATTCTAGATGTTGGCTCACCATCGAATCTTTTAAGATAACATTCATAGCTTGTTTCCTAAAATCAGAGAAACATCTCATTTTATGTTATAAACTCTTACCTGAGCCACAAAGTACACAATCTACCGGAGACAGGTACTATCTCAGTTCTCACCGTACCTGGTCACCATACCTGGTCAGGCCAGCAGCAGCCCGCTGTCTACAAGCCTCTGTGGCTCCCACATGAGGGCTGTTTTTCAGCAGCTATCAACCAGGTCACTAATGTGCTCCGCAGTACCCTTAGCTAATGACAGATGGGAAATGATGGATAAATCCCCCTGCTGGGGGGACTCTGGGGTGTGAGCTACATGGTTGGAATGTCTACACTTTCTAGTTTCTGCATTTGATGCTTTGACATCTGGGGTGTTGCTGGTTGCCCATCCCAGTGTGACCCAATTCCTATGGTAGTGATGGAAAGGATCTACCAGAAAACACACTTTTCACACACAAACCAGTCAACCAACCAACCAGTCCAGAACGTACACCTCAGCCACCTCCTTCTGAGGCTTGCATGGGCCCATCACTGTGGGCTGTCATCGATCTGCCAGAATCACCCTGAGCCAAGCAGCAGACAGCCTACCCCCATCATATATGTCCCTTGCCCTGCACCACCCATTGCTTCCTTGGAAACCACAGTGAACTGTGATTCCTCTTCATTTCGTCCCCTCCTGGCAGACCCGGGTACTTCCTCCTGGGTTCAACCTGTCCCTTCCTCTTGAGCTCCTGAGTATAACAAAACATGTTCTCAGCAGCAGTCAGCGCCTAATCTGTTGCCTTGTCAGACCTGAGCGATAATTAAGCCCATATTTTAAAACAACTCTCCCACACTTTGAGTTTGAGCCCCAGGAATCCAAAACACTCATCTGCTCGTATTTCACCCCATTACCATTTCTCTCTTATTTCCCCACTTCACAGATAGTGCTTTCTGGTACCACTTTCCAGATTCTCTATTTGCACGCAAATCATCGCAACTAGTATATCTAGGGAACCATCCTAAGGCAGTAACCTCTAAAGACACAGTTGCTGTGATGCAAAGTGGGGGCTTCTTCCTATTCGGTGGCCCCAGGCTGTCTCTGTGGAACCATGGGGTTCCACAGAGCACAATGTGCAAACTGCTTTCTTCAACTAACCTGAGATTAAAAAGCTCTTAAAAATCCAAGTAAAATATTTCATTATCCACCAAGCAGTATTTTCAGAGCTAAAAAAACTATCCTCAAGTTTACTTGTTCTAAAATATATCACTTTATGAAAATACAGCAAAATACCAACAAGAAATGAATACACATAATGGAAATACATTTGATTTAAATAAGCAATTTCTTTGCCTGAGAGCCTGATTTATTTCTAGAGGGTTGTTTGTACACCAGGCACCCAGATGGTCTGGTCAGTTGAGATCCATGTTAAATAACATTCTTTAAGCCATGTATCATAATGCAACATTGTCTCTGAGGGAAGATTAGATTGGTTGAAAACCTGGTGTCTAAGCTCTAACCCATATTCATTGTTCTTGAAAGGGCTTATGACTTCATTATATTTCTAATACTTAGAGAATCACCTACTGAAATGCCAACATTTTCTAGCTTTTGCACTTGATGCTTTGACAGCTGGGATGTTGCTGGCTGCCCATTCCAAAGTGACCCAATTCCTATGGTAATGGTGGGAAGGTAATGATGGTAGGTAATGATGGACCTACCAGAAAACATTTTTCACATGCAAACCAATCCAGAATCTAGCCAATCCAGAATGTACACCTCAGCCACCTCCTTCTGAGGATCTCACAGGGCTCTCACTCTGGGCTGCCAGCATCACCCAGGGCCTGGAAGCTGAGGACAGCCTACCCCCACTATATGTAACCAATTCTAAATGGTTACTCGTCTACCGCCCGTTTAGTAAATCTTTTCTAAATGGGCTAAGGAGAAATCTCAAGACAGTTATGAAGTCTTCTTTTTTCAAAAAAGTATTTGTAATTGGGTCAAGGATGAGAATTCTTTGGGTCTGCTGAAGTCTGAGTTACAAGCTCACTGAGGTTGGCTGCCTTCCCTGAAGGAAGCCTTTAATTGCAGGTAACTAGAGAGAACAATTCACAATATCACATTGTTATTAATTAGGAGTCATTTGGTGGCACATGATGGAAATCCAGCACAAACTAGGTAAATAAAAGAGAAATATGTTATTGACCATTATTGAAAGGTCAATGCTTTAGTGCAGGTGAATGTGGGCAGGGTCATTCAATGGCTCCTTTATTTTCTCTTGTTCTCTCTTTACTCTGTCTAGTCCCATTGGAAGGTTCTAATTTCATGGTGGTCAACTGGCTGCCAGCAACCCCTGGCTCGTCCCTGTCTTCTTAGACATCTCAGTGCCAAGAAAGTGTCTCTTTCTTATTGCCCCAGAAAAAAAACCTGAGACTCAGTCTCATTGGGCCAACTCATGCTCAATACTGACCAATCATACGGCCATCATCACAAGATGCTGTGATTGGTCAAAGCTAAGTCAGTTGGCTATACCTAGAGGAAATGTCCCTCCAAACAACATCCTGCTGCTCCTATCCATAGCACGTTGTCATGGATACCAGGAAGATACTGACAACAGATGCTCTCAAAATAGGTGTGAACTCCTCAAGGTAAAGGAGTGAATTTCACAATATCTGTTTCATCCCCAAAGCTAATTGCAAGAGTATTGCTTTGCCTTGGAATTCTAATATCTGTCCTAAACCGTGTGTGTCTGTAATGCTCTGACAAATTTACTGTGTGTTCTTGAAAAAGTGTGTATGCCCGATAGTTTTCTGGTATTCCACATAGTCCCTGGGGATAAATGGTGTAATCACTTCACCTTTGGGGCATGAATAGCTACAATCTTAGAACCAAGACATATGATCTGATACTAGGGGAATTCTCTGAAGGTATGTGGTCTTGAAATGCAAGTTATTTACAGAAAGATGAGAGGAAACTTGTGTCTTTTTTTCATGCTCATGAAAGCCAACTGTCCCTCCTATTTATAAAAGTTGCTCTTGTGGAAGAAAAGCATAACCATCATCCCCTGTATGTTGCTAACTTCTTTCTTCTCTTCAGATAGACTCCTCTAATGACAAGTGGGAACAAGACAGTGGTGACCAGTGAATGGATTTTCTAAAAGTAGCTGACTAGAGCCTCTGAAGGTGCTAAAATACTAGATCTAAAATATTCTGCCCACATTGACATGGGGCTGGCTCCATTTAAGATTTGGCTTATCCCCAGAGAAGCTTACCTGACCATCTTATCTGAAGTTGGCCCCATCCTAGTTTTCCTCTGTCATAGCTCCTTATTTCTCTTAATAGCATGTTCTGAAATTATCACACTATGTCTCCCTCAGTAGGATGCAAACTCTGGGAAAGTTGGGACCAGGGGTGCTTGTCTTATTTCACAGTGCCTAGTATACAGTAGGACCTCAGTAAAAAAAGAATGTATGAATGGACGACTGGGCTCTATATTATTTAGCTTTCCTGCAGAATGACAAAGTGCTTGAGATAAATCAACTTAGGAAGGAAAGGTTTATTTTAGCTCATGGGATCAGAGGTTTCCAGTTATAATTGCTTGGCCTTTTCACTGTAGGCCTGAGGCAAGGCTAAACATCATGGTGGAGAACACTGGGAAGGCAAAGCTGCTCACTTCATGATGGCCAGAAATGGGGGGAGAGAGAGAGAGGGAGAGACAGCTAGAGGCAGAGAATGAATGAAGGATAAGATCTAGCCTTCAGGAGCCCCAAGGACCTACTTCCTTCTACTACTAGACCCTATCTCCTAACTTTCCACAACTTTTCAATAACCAAGGAAACAATGAATTATGATGTTAGACGCTCCAGTCACCCTCCAAAGGCCCTACCTCTGATCACTGTTGTGCTAGTGTCTAAGCTTTCAACACATGAGCTTTTGGGGACATTTCAGATCCAAACTGTGGCAGGCTCCAAACTGCCTCTAGGTTTATGGGTTCTTAGTTCAGAAGGGAACTGTAGAAACAAAATCTACCTAGGATCACAGTATTAAGCAACTGGCTAGCTGCAGTATTTATTAATACGTTATAGTGTCCTGCACCTGAAATCAGAAGGATTCAAAGGAGCAAGAGGCTGCTGAGTCAACAAAGACAACGAAGGCAAGTGTGTTCTGCCAGCCTTAGTTGTCTGTAAGGGTCAAGGGAGAACCCCTGGCCTTGCCATCAGCAGAATTTTAGATGAGCTTGCAGTGTTGGAATGGATGGTAGTTACCTAGTTTTCATATAAAAGGGCACTGATAATTCAGCCACATGGTTGCAGCATCTGGAGAAAAAAAAAAAAAAAAACCCAAAAAACAAAACAAAACAAAAAAACACCACAACTGTACCTTAAGGCCAGGGAGCAAATCCTATCAATTGTGACAATTTGTGTGGCAAATGCAAAACCCTTCATTGGTTGACTGTAGCTTTGGATCAGTGGAGAATTCCATCTGTCAGGGCATTTGCTGTATCATAACAGTTGTTGAATTTTCTTCAGGCAACAGATGAAGAACTCTGTCTACCGAAGCCGACAGTCTCTGAACAGCCCCAGTCCAGGAGAAACTGAGATGGACCTTCTGGTCACTAGGGAGCGACCCCGGCGTGGAATCCGGAACAGCGGATACGACGTAAGTCTCTGGTGGGCTGGGGGTGAACACGAGCTCTGCTTTCCCCTGAAAATAAGAAAGACAGACAGAGCACCCCTTAATGTGGCCGTTTACTATGTTTATGGAAATTGAAAATGCACTAAAACGCTATTTTTCACTGCCTCTTTTGCAAACTAATACAACTTGGAATGTGTCAGAGGAACCCACTGTGCTGGAAAGGATCATGATTTCTAAATTGCACTGCTTTTGCAAATATTACTGACCTAAAACCAGTAGCGGTTCTAAATGTACTAAATTTTATTCCTTCTGTCTTTAGAAATTCATTAAGAACCATGCAAATGGGTTAGGATTCACTGGCGCACAGGCTTCTTTTAATTTATAGTGATAAAAATTTGGACTTGTTCCTGATTTCATAACTCCTCAAAATGCCATGAAAACAATGAGATGTCCAACAGAGCGAGCTGATGATTTTGCATGACAAAGCACACTGCTAGTGTTTAGTGATGTGTCCAAGCTGCAAAATCCTCCTGACCCCTTCAGGCTTCTCCAGATGAGGAATTGCATCCTGTGAAGCTGTATGCATCCTACACTTGGGTTTGCATCCAGGAGCTCATGTGAATTACTCTGGACTGAGGTGTTCAGTAACATTACTCCCTGCCCCACAATTTCAGACGGTCTTGATATACTCTTAGGTTTTATGAAAAATATTTCTTTTTGTTCCCCTAAGATGTTTCTTTAATTGCAAATGAAAATTTTTCTGTAGCAAAAAGTATAATTCAAATATATCTGGAGAAACTTTTATCATTTGAGAGACTGTATTGGAAAATGACAGTAGATTTCTTAAGTTTATCATACTTGCTTGATGAAAGGAATATTTTCCCCTAATAATTGGCCACTATTTGCCACAAAATCTTAAAATGAGATTCTTTAATGGCTCCAATGAAAAACAAAGATATTCTGCCTAACTTGAATCTCTGCTGACTTCTAACATTTAAACCTGATGTTTGTGTTGATAGTGATACTCTTTATCTTTTGTTTCTTTCTTTTCTATTTCATAAAAGTTTGATAGATTAATTGTATAAAATTCCAAATACTTAGCGCATATTTTATCTCCCAATAGGTTACAATATTCGAGCAGACAACTTTTCTCCTCACAAGAAATATTTCTTCTACCAAACTTATTCATTGATTTTATCATCAATATGTAATTAAACTCAGCATAACTTTTAAGTTTCCGATTAAGCCTCCTACCAAGAGGGAACATTCTTCCTAGATGCTTGCTTAGTTAAGGACATTCTTTTTCCCACTCATGTAGCTAAAATATGATAATTTGCAATTTATCTCAAGAATGATAATAAATGTTATGCTTTAGATCTATAGTATTCTCTGAAAGGTTTATGTGTTCAGTTATGTGGCTTTTAGAAAGTGATTGTCTTTAGGGGTGCTGTACCTATCAGTGGACTAACCCACTAAGGGGCTCCAAGCTGAATGTGTGGATTCTGACCAGAGGTGGGTCACTGGGGGTGTGGTTTGCAGGGGTATTATCTCCCACCTCTGTGTTGCCTTTGCTTTCTGCTTCCTGGCCACCATGACATGAGCAACTTTCCTCTACCAGACCCTTCCCCCCTGACCTTCCTGCCTTGGAGCTAGCTGACTGCGAATCCTCTAAAAACCATGAGCCAAGTCAGCATTTCCTCTGGGGTGTCGAGTGTTGTGTCCAGTGACAAGAAAGTGTCTAAAACAATAGGTTTCTTGTGGAAGTCTAGGCATGGATACTTTCAGAATTATGGGGAGATGGGGCAGAAGTCCCTGTAATAATATTATCAAAAGGAGAACACTGCACATCCTTTCAACCAAGTGATATGATTTGTAGCACCCACCTAGCACCTTTGGGATGTTGTGTTAGTAAAATACCTAAAACAATGAGAATTTTTAAGAGGACATTGTTCACCCTTACAGATATTTGTAAATATTCCAAATAAAGATTACTTTCCGGGGGCCCTCTTTATTCTAACAGATCTTTCAAAACTGTATTTATTTGAGAGGCATACGTGCTCTAAAATCCATAAATAGAAACTTGCTTCAGAGAAAGTGACCATCCAGAGGGCAGTTTCAACAGTTGAAACGTTGGTTGTGAAAATGACACTGCTGCTGGGCTGTGGGCTGTGGCTCAGTGGTAGAACACTTACCTAATACATGTGAGTCCCTGGGTTCCATTCCCAGCACCACTACCACCACCACCCCCAAAGATGAATGAAGGATCAGGGTTAAGAAAGGAGTAAACAAAGGGGAATAAAGGATCAGAAATGGCCAGGATGTTATATACAGGTACCAATTCCCCAAAACAAGCATCACTATCGTGTACTGCAAACATACACTTTAAAAAAATGTAAGAACATGATGCCCCTCTGGACACTGTGACATGTATCTGTAGCCCCAGCTACTCAGGATTTTGAGGCAGGAAAGTCATGAGTCTGGGGCCAGCCTTGAACAACACAGGCAACATGGCAAGACTTTTTCTAGAAAAGAAATACGATACTACTTACCTGTATCTCTATTATGCTTTTTCTACTAGTCATATGAAAAGTACTTAACATCTGCGAACAGTACACTATGGACCAAGCCCCCTTTTACTCTTTTTATGGGTATAACCTTATTGAATTTGAATGGATTCCAGTTGGGGAGATGCTGTCATTATGCATGGAAAAGGAAACTGTGGTTCAGAATAGTTCTGTGACTTGTCTGCCAATTCCAGAGCTCATCTAGTTGACCACCATGCAGTATAGATTTTATGGTCCTCCCCCTCACTGTCTGTCTACTCTCTCATAATGTAATATATGTCTTATATTGCCGAACTTCTAGAAGAGGCCAGATGCCAGGTCTTGGAAAGATTCCTACATGGATAACTCCTACCAGCAAAAAATGAAACAGCAAATAAAGTATAAAAAAGAACTGAGTCATAGTTCAAAACAGTGCATTCAATTTCTGATTCCATTTTCCAAAAATGCCAAGGTGCTCTTGGCAAAAGAATCCATGAGCCTGGCAGTGAACTGGTGATGCCACTGGAAATATGTCATTCTTTGTACAGGGTCTGGAGATCTCAAAACCAGGGCAGAATACCTGGTCTTTTGGGATCAGTAGAAAATAAAGCACTGGGAGATTGATTTAATTTTCAATTTATCAAAAATTGACTTTAAGAGTCCCAGAAGAAAAGGCTGCATGTAAAAACAATAAACCTGTGCTTCCTAGGCAAATCTTAGTCCCTGCATGGATCGCAGCCTAGATTGTTTCAAGTGTTTCCATATAGCAAGGGGTGTTCTAGCCTGCAAACTCTTGGCTCCAAGGGGTTCAGGGTCTCTGGATTTTGCAGCAAAAATTCTCAACCTCTCGGTCATCCCACCAGCCAGCACATCCCTGCCAGTAAGTATGGCCCACTTAGTAGTAATATTCTACAAGTACTCCTTGCATTATTTTAAAAATTGTCCCAAACTGATCACTCCTGAGAGACCAGACTATGTTATTAAACTTTTGCACTAAAATTACTTTGTCTGCACGTATGTAAATGCCACATTATTTCTCTGGTGTGAGAGACTGAAAGTGTAAATAAGTATAATAAATATTGTGAAACAGGAAAACAGTGTTCCAATGGGAAGGGTAAGTAGGGAGACAGGAGGAGGAAAGGAAGGAATGGAAAAGAAAAAAATGAGGAAAAAAGGAAAAAATGGGAACAAAGTTTTTGTAAAGAAGGAAGGGACAGGGTTGAAGCGGGACAGTGGAATAGGAAGAAAAAGAATCAAGTTAGTTCATGTATAGGTACAAATTCCCTGAAATGAAGATGATCATTGTGTATACCTAAAATGTACCAATCAACTTAATAAAGAAAATAAAATTACTTTGTCTGATGTATAAGGCAGGTAGAAAAGAAAAATCTCAGCCTAATATGTGAAAGTAAAAAAAATCTCTGTTTTATTCATTTCTGAATGAAGGTCGTATGGAAAATAATGAAGCTGGGAATAAAAGGAAAGAAAATGCCCCAGCTATGATTCTCAGGTAGTGATTTTCCCCATATCAATCCAGTTGTCCAGTGTGCGCACAATACAGCAGGCTTTGCTTGCAAAGGGCAAGGAATAATCAAATCCTTCCCTGAATATTAAAATGCACATTTCCAGCCAGTCTGATTTTTAGAGCTCCTATCTTTGTTTTTTTGAGGTGCTAGTGATGGTTCAGTGATGCTAGTGAATGTTCAGAAGAACAGATGATCTGTTGATGTACCTTAGGAGAATCGGTGTCAAGACCATTGGCTCGCTCATTCCAAAGGCATGCTTTGGGAATGTTTTGAAATATCATCAAAAATAAAATGATTTAATGACTTAAAGGTACATATAAACCTACAAAAAGGGGTAATAAGCAATATTCAGCCGCAGAAAACAGAAAATATCAAACTACTTTAAACAGACAAAAAACATGACTAGGAAAAATTATGTGCTCATAAAATCATCAGAGGGCTGGAGGAGCATCCAGGAAAGACTCCCAGAATAGCTCTGCAGGGCTGATCCGGGAGGGGCTGCTGCCTCTGTCCCAAGCAGGAAGGTGGGGAGCAGGCTGCCCTGGAACTGCCATGATTAAGAAAACAGCTAGTTAGGTGTGGTTGCACACACCTGTAATCTTCGCACGATCTCTCGTGAGGAGAGAGGATCACAAGTTTGAGGCCAGCCTGGGCTATGTAGTAAATTCAAGGCCAAATGACTACCATAGCAAGACCCTGTTTCAAAACAAATAGATGGTGGAAGAAAAGAAGGAAAGAAGGAAGGGAGATGAAGAGAAAGAGAAAAGACAGAATGATGCAAGAATGAGAGCCCTGCACAACTTGACTTTCAGCAGCAGTGATGAAAGCAGCAGAAGGCTAAGCCCTGCCCCAGATCCTCTGTTCACACTGCACGCAGGTGAATGCCTTGAGGCGGCAGCACCTAAGCCTTCCAGGGTATGCACACTAGCCATTTAGCCTCAATTCATGCTACAAA